TAAAATGTCTCTGAAATACTCTTACGCAAATAATTTTATGATGCAGGAATAAATAAAACATTAAAATAAGTTCTAGGGTCCAGCACTGTGGCACAGAGAGTTAAAGTCCTGGCCGGCGGCGGCGGCATCCCATGTGGGCATCAGTTCGAGTCCTGGTTGCTCCATTTCCTATCCAGCTCCCTGCTAATGTGCCTGGGAAAGCAGCAGAGGATGGCCCAAGTCCTTGGGCCCCTACACCCATGTGGGAGACCTGAAGAGGCTCCTGGTTTCGGATCTGCTCAGCTCTAGCCATTGTGGCCATTTGGGGAGTGAACCAGCAGATGGTAGACCTCTCTGTCTCTACTTATCTCTGTAACTCTTTCAAATAAATAAAATAAATCTTTAAATAAAATATACAAGGAAAAAAGTTATACAAATCATTCTATGATAATACATTTTTTTCTAGGCTGAACATTTTTATTTTTGGAAATATAGCCTTTAGGATCACTGTGAGGATCAAACAAGTTAATGAATGTTCAAGTCTAATTTGTGGCTAGGAGGACCAATCAATCATCTTTTAAATGCCAAAATAACACACAAGATACGTGCCCTAGGAGACATTATGATTTGAGGCATACTGATGGACTTCACCAGTCAGTTGAGAATTCAGCATTTACCAAAGATGTTAATTGTACTATATAAAGCAGGCGACAAGAATCACATATAGCACTGTTTTCCTACAAAAATCACTACTGCTCTTTGAGTGAATCAAAGCCATTTTTAATGAGAAAAAACGATCCCTTACTTTGCATGTTCTATGCTATAGTTGTACTCAAATGGTTTTCCATCTGAGGATAGAACCAGCACGTGCTCCGCGCCTTGGGCCATGGAATGGATCTTCATTTTTTTTCCTAACTTAATGCACTCTGTGGAGCAAATCAAACCAGGAACCATTATTACTTTAATTATCATCTGCTTTCATTTCTCGTTTTGTTATAATACATTTGAAACACTAGATAAGAACTTCAAGCACACAACCTTTAACTTAACATGAACTTTTAAGAAATTCAAGTACATGAAACAAATTGGGAATGACAATTGTCTTGCCAATAGATTTTTTTTTTAATTTGGGAAGGCACTGATTCACACTTTGATTTAAATGGAACAGTCTCTTGAAATGACCAAATAAACACTTGCTTTTTGATTTCCGTTTTGTAAGCTGAGACAGAGAAACTAAATTTGAGAGACTGTAAGACCTTAAAAGGTCAGTAAGACTTTAAGACAACACAGTTCATTTCAAAATATACTGCATGTATCTGAGAATTCTCTCCAAAAGCAAATTCTCTCCAAAAGCAAAACAATAATAAATACTTTCCAACTGCTTCCTAAGAAGCCAAAGGCTAAATTCCTAACAGGAAAGACTGTGTTTGGGGCACTACTTTTAAAGGAGATGCTGCTGAGGCTGGCACTGTGGCATAGTAGGCTAAGCCTCTGCCTTTGTCACCGGCATCCCAGCTGCTCCTCTTCCAGTGCAGCTCTCTGCTATGGCCTGGGAAAGCACCGGAGGATGGCTCAAGAGCTTGGGCCCCTGCACCGGCAATGGGAGACCCAAAAGAAGCTCCTGGCTCCCAGCTTCAGATCCACCCAGCTCCGGCCCTTGTGGTCATCTGGAGAGTGAAACAGCAGAGGAAAGACCTCTCTCTCTCTCTCTGTAACTCTGCCTTTCAAATAAAATCTTAAAAATAAATAAATGAAGAGAATGCTGCTGCAAGAATTTTTGTTGGCATCAGTGCCTTTTAACCCTTTCTACAAGCTGAGAAGTGGAACCAGAACAGCTTGGTAATGATGAATGGCCACACAAACTAATGTTTGTTGAAACAGCATTTCATACCAGTGGAAAAGAGGGGCAGTCAAGAAATGATGCTGGGACACCTAGCATTTGGGAAAACAATTCTAAATTCACTCCTCTTCATAAATCAAAATAAGTTCCAAATATGCCCAAAATTTTAACTTCAAAAATAAAACCTTAAAGTTACTACAGGAGGGAAGATCTCTCTCTGCCTCTCCTCTAATTCTGCCTTTCAAATCAATCTTTAAAAAAAAAAAAAAAGACGCTAAAACTTAAAAGTTTACTATAAAGATAAGTGCATTTTTAAAAAATCGTGGAGTGTGGATAGTTTTTGAAAGTAAGCCAAAAAAAAAAAAAAAAAAACACCAAGACTCTTTAAAATACAAATTTGATAGCCTCTAAAAATGTTTAAATTGGGCACAGCAAAAAATTACACCCACGAAAGGCCAAGTTGAGAAAAATACTACAACATACACGACAGGCAAGAGCAATTCTTCAATACTGAAACACCTCTTTCAAACAAAGATTGAGTTGTTTGTCTGTTTGTTTTTTACGAAGCCACGCAAAGAAAACAGGCAGTTTTCCACACACTGAGACCCCCCAAAAAAAAAAGTCTAAATAACCACCAGGAAAGTGCAAGGATCGCTGACTTCGCTCAAGTTCAAGCCAAACGGTGAAAGGCCGTTTTCCTCACCGCACATTTTAAAGTCGTGAGGGCGGGCCCCGCACCCCTTCCCCGCTCTGGAGAAGCCGCGCCCCAGAACCTGCCCGACTCCGGAGGTTCGGCTCACCGCGGCGGGGAAGGGACGCCCCACAAAGAATCGGGGGACCACCCCCGGGAGCAGAGGCCGAGTGCCGGGGCCGCGGTGCGGAGGAGGCTGCCGCTCGGCTCGCAGACCGGACGGTCCTGTCAGGCGCCGGCACCCCGCGCACCCCGCGGCACCGCGGCCGCGGGAAAGCCCCAGAGCCCGGCGCGCGTCTGCGGCCCCCGCACCGTCCCCCTTCCCGCGTGGACCACCGCTCGGGCCCCCGCGGCGGGACGGCGAGCGGCGCTGCCCCGGCCCCACTCACTGGGCTTCCTGGCGCCGTCGCTCTTGGCCGGCAGCGGGTGGACCTCGACGCCGGCCCCGCCGCGCTCCAGCACCGCCAGGCGCCCCTCCGTGCAGCAGATCTGGCGCGTCGCCTCGAACCTCCGGAGCAGCGCGCTGCGGAGCCCCGCAGCGCCGGGGAAGAGCCAGAGCGGCGTGCCCGACTGCTCTTTGGAGCGGGACGCGGCGGGTCGGGCCGGCACGGGCCGGGTCCCCGGGGTCGCCCGGGGCGGTGGGCGCGCGCGGCCCCGCGACCCCCTCGGAGGCTTGCGCTCCATCGCCGCGGTGCGCAGACGACGACAAGGCGTCCGAAGCCCTCAAGCGTTGCGCCGCGGGACCGCAGCGCGCCGAGCGCCGTGGCGTCGAGGAACCGCAGCCTGCGCTACTCCGCCCCTGCCCGCCGCGTGCCGTTTGGGGGCGGGGCCGGCAGGGCCGAAAGGAAAACGAAACAGAATTTTTTTTTTTTGAAGAGCGTCGAATCGTCTCGGAAAAGGAAAGGGAAACTCAAATGAAGCGAGGGCGGCCTTGGAGGCGGCCCAGGGAAACAGGTGGCTGCCAGCTGATCTGGCGAGCCGTCAGGACGGCGACGGCGGCCCCGGGCGCCGGTGGCTTTCGGGAATCCCCGCGCCTCCGCTGGGGGGCGCCCGCACGCAGGCCGACTTGGCGGGATTTCTGGGGAATCCGGCGCCGGGCTGGGAACTTGGACTCTGAAGTAGGCTGAGCGTCGCGCCGCGCAGAAAGCGGCGAAATGACGCCCGGGGTCCCTCGGCGCATTTGGGTGCCTGGGAAACAGCGCTTTCCAGAGTTTGGCCTTTTTCCGGAATTCCATGCAAATCGAAGCATGCCTCCGTGGTTTTTTGCGCTCCCCCCTCCCGTTTCGTCTGCAGGCCCCTGCTCGTGACTGCTGCGTGGGGTTCCATTGTGTGCGTGAACCACAGCGTATTCATCCATTCCCTTCCGGCTTTTGGCCGCAAAGAGCGGAGCCGCTGTGAATATTGATGCACATATCTCCGGATAGACAAGTGTTTTTTGTTTTTTTTCTTTTCTTTTCTTTTCTTTTCTTTTCCTTTTAGTTTTTGCGGGGGTGAGGGTGGGGGCGCATGCCCAAAAGTGGAATTGCTGGGTCGTGTGGGAAGTGAAATGTATCGCCAGACTTTTCCAAAGCGCTGTGCCCGGTTACCTTCTCTCCAGGAAGTCGGGAGAGTATCTGTCTCTCACTGTATTTTTGCCCATGGTGGCTATTGCCAGGCTTTTTTCGTTTTAGCAGTTGTAGTAGTGTCCTTTTGATTTTAATTTGCATTCGCTTAATGACGAATGCTGTTCAGCATCTTTTCTCATGTGCTAATTTGCCATATCTCCTCTTGGGTGAAGTGTGTGACGTCTTCTGCCCATTTATGAATTTGATGGCTTGACATCGTCTAAGCATTCTTTACGTGTTGTTTTACACCATGTCCTTTATTAGATTTTTTAAAAATATTTATTTATTTAAATCAGAGTTGGGGTAGGGAGGTGGAGAGAGAATCTTCCATCCTCTGATTACCCCCCAAATGGCCACAACAGCCAGTGCTGGACCAGGCTGAAGCCAGGAGCCAGGAGCTTTGTCCGGGGCTCCCACTTAGGTGCAGGGGCACAAGCGCTTAGGCCATTTTGAGCTGCTTTCCCAGGTATGTTAGCAGGGAGCTGGATTGAAGTGGAGCAGCCAGGACAGGAACCAGTGCCCATATGAGATGCAGGCGTCCCAGGCGGCAGCTTTTCCTGCTGTGCCACAATGCTGGTCCCTAAATACGTAACTGAAATGTTTTACTACCACTCTGTGGCTTGCCTTTTCATTTTATTAATTACCCTTTGGAGAACTGAAACTTTTTAGTTTTGATGTAGTTGATCCATTTTTCTCTTTCGTGTAGTTCTTGCCTTTATTTTTTGGGTCTATTTAAATCTTTCTTGAACACAAAGTTAGATGTTCTTGTTTGTTCCGGAAGTTTTATGGTTTTAGATCTTTGTGTTTTTTTATTTATTTTGTTTTACTTAATTGCAAGGCAGATACATACATACATACAAAGAGGGAGAGAGAGAATTGAAACCTAGGGACTCTTGTATGGGATATGGGTGTCTTTATTTTTTTTATTGATTTATTTGAAGCCAGTCCCCAAAAGAAAGATATAATATGTTTTCCCTGCTCCTAGGTAACTAATAGAGTACCTGAAATGTAATGTTTAGGAGTGAAATGGACATTTTGAGATTCTATGATTGTTTACAGCCCTTGTCTCTTCCATTGAGGAACAGTGCTTTTTTCTTCATACTATTTGTTGTACTCTTTTACTCAGTGTAGGGTTAACTTTACAATCATTAAGTAAACTGAAAATAAATCTTTATAAAAATTAAGAGTAGGAATGGGAGAGGGAGAAAGAAGAAGAGTTGGAGAGTGGTGGGAGGGAAGGTAGGGTGAGAAGTATCACTATGTTCCTAAATCTGTATATATGAAATAAATGAAACTTGTATAACTTAACTAAAATTTTTTAAAAATAAAGATTTATTTACTTGAAAGGCAGACTTACAGAGAGGCAGAGGAAGCGAGACAGAGAGAGAGAGAGAGAATCCTTCATCCACCGGTTCACTCCCCAAACGGCCACAATGCCATGTGGGTGCAGGGGCCCAAGGACTTGGACCATCTTTCACTTCTTTCCCAGGCACCCAGCAGGGAGCTGGATCAGAAGTGAAGATGCCTGCACTACAGGCGGAGGCTTTAACTACAACGCCACAGCGCAGGCCCCCTTTGTTATATTTCAAATCATGTAGGGGTAGAGGTTCAATCTTTTTTGTCCCTGTGATTTCCGGTGGTTTTGGTTGCCTTTCTCCATTGACTTGCCTTGGTGTCTTTGTCAAAATTCAGTTGCATACATGCTTGGATTTATTTCTGGATTTTTAATTCTGTTCCACTTATTTATCTGTATATTTTTACTTCGCTACTACACTTATTTACTGTAGATTCAAAGTCCCAAAATTAGTTCATACAATTGCTCCAATATTTGTTCTTTTTCAGTGTTGTTTGGGTTTTTCTAGCTTCTTCTCATCTTCATATATATGTCAGAATCAGTTTCTTGATTTCAACAAAATGGACTGCTGAGATTTTGATTGAAATTACATTAAATTAGGTCAGTTTGGGAAGAAATGACATGTTTATCTGTCCATGAGCGTGATCTATTAATTTAAGACTTCTTTAATTTTTTTCAGCAATGTGTTATAGTTTTCAGTGTATAAATGTATTTAATTTATCCTTATTTACTTTTCATTGCAAATGGTGTTTTTTAAATTTTCAATTGAAATTTTTATGAGATTGTTTAATTTTAAATCTGAGTATATAGACATACAACAAATTTTTATATAATGACCTTGAATCTAAGGACCTTTCTATATTAATATTTCTAGTAGTTTTTGTAGATCCCTCAGAATCATGTATGTAGCTGACAGTGTCTCCGACAAATACATATTACTTCTTCCTTTCCAATCCATATGCCTTTGCTTTGCTTTGTTCTAATCTATAGAGTAGTACAACCAGTACAATGTTGAATAACAATGATGGGAGATATTCACTTTGTTCCTAACAGGAAAGCAATTAGTCTTAAAAAAAAAAAAAAGATTTATTTATTTTAAAGTCAGAGAGAGAGAAAGGAAGAGACAGAGAGAGATCTTCCATCCTCTGGTTCACTCCCCAGATGGCTGGAATGGAGAGGGTTGGGCTGGGCCAAAGCTAAGAGCTTCTTTCAGGTCTCTCAAGAGAGTAGCAGGGGCCCAAGCACTTGGGCCATCCTGCGCTGCTTTTCCCAGACCACTAGCAGGGAGCTGGATGGAAAGTGCAGCAGCCAGGATATACACCTGCACCCATGTGCGATGTCAGCATGGCAGGCAGCAGCTTAACTGCTACACCACAACACTGGCCCCAGCAATCAGTCTTGCACCGCTAAGTATGAGTTTAGCTAGATGTAAGTTCTATCAAGTTGAGTCCTTCTAGTCCTGGTTTGCTTGTGAGTGTTCAATTTTGTCAATTTTCTTTGCTGCTTATACTGAAGTAATGAAGTAACTTTCCCTCTTCTATTCAGAGATGAAATATAGTTGATCTTCAAATGCATTTCTGGGCTACCCCCCCCCCCCACTTAGTTCTGAGGCACTGTCCAATTTTTTTTATATAGTTGATGTGTCAAAGAATTTTTGATATGTAAAGGCTTTTTGTGTCCATGTTCATGAAAGATACATAGTTTTTTTGTTCCTTGTAATGTCTTTCTCTGGTCTGGATATTAGAATATTGCTGCAATCATAGAACTAAATGGCAAATGTTCCCTCTTCCCCTGTTTTCTGAAAGAAAGTATAAAGAGCTGGTCCTGAGGCAGGCATTTGATCAGCAGTTGAATTTCTGCCTGGGAATCCTGTTGCAGAGTGCCTGCTAACGTGTACCCTGGGAGACAGAAGTCTCCATGTGGGAGACCTGGATTGAGCGCTGGGATCTTGGTTTCAGCCTGGTCCAGCCCTGGCTGCTGTGAGCACTGAGGGTTGAACCAGTGGATGGAATCTCTTTCCCTCTCTCTCTCTGCCTTCCAAATAAAATACAAATGAGTAAAATAAAGAAAGAAAGAATTGGTTCTATTTCTTCCTTAACTGTTTAGTACAACTTACCCATTTATATTTAAAAAAAATGTAATGTTGGTTATGAAAGATTACATCCTAATTCAAAAGCTTATAGCTTATTTTGAATAGTTAAAATAAGCAGATGATCAAAGTACCATTTCATGTAGCCAGTGATTATTGCCACCCAGAAGTTTTTCTTTTCAACGCTTTAGCAGGGGAGAACAAATTCACAGGGAGAACACTCGATAGAGGAGGAACATTAACCACAGAACAAGCAAGGACCAGTTTCATCAGAGTCCAGTTGTTAAAGTCTAGTTATTCAGACAGGATGAAGCATCATTAAAATGTGAGGTATCTCTAGATCCAAGTGGTCTTCAGGAGAGACTGGCTTGACAACACAGTGGCGATCCAGGAAGACATGGAAGGGTGGTGCCAGTGTTGGCTAGCAAGACTTTGGAGCTGAGGCCAACAGCTAACAGGGTATGGCCCTGCCACAGCCTGAGCTCTCAAAGCAGCTATCCGAATTGTGTTTACAACTATTTTGGTGTCCAAGAGTTGAGGTCACTAACTTATAGAGTCTGATCTGAGAAGGAATAATATATAAAATTCTCATTGGCAGGGGGATCACACTCCCAAGCTCTTATCACAGCAAAACATGTTACTCATATAGCAAATTATGTGCCTGGAATCATTTCAAAGCTATATTAACAGCTTAAATTTTAATATTAACTAAAACTGGCCCACAAAGTGACTTGGCAATTTCCCACCTTAGTTACATCTCTATTTACTCCATTAGCCATGGCACTGAGACACAGTTGATCCTCCTTAACATCTCTCCAATTACAATGGAGCGGGCTCAGTGGTTAGCCAAAGTGACCATGCCTGCATTTAGAATGGTAATCAAAATTGAATACAAGTAATCATTCAATAAATTAATGAGTTCTTTCAAATTTAGAGTTTTTTTTATAAAAGATTTATTTGAAAGGCAGAGTTACAGAGAGAGAGAGAGAGAGAGAGAGAGAGAGAGAGAGAGAGTGTCAAGAGTTTGCTCCATAAATGGCCATAGTGGGGAGTGGCAACTGGGCCATGTTCAATGCTTTCCCAGGCACATTAGCAGAAAGCTAGGTTGGAAGTGGAGCAGCTGGGAATCCTGTAGCAGAGTGCCTGCTAATGTATACCCTTGGAGACAGCAAGTCTCCATGTGGGAGACCTGGATTGAGTGCTGGGATCTTGGTTTTCCATATGGGATTCCAGCACTGCAGATGATATTTAGTATTCAGGAAATAATTTGGTAAAAGCAAACATTCTAATATTAAGGTTTGATATACAGGAAGTGTTGTTTTATGTAACTTTGTTTCATTAAAAATCTTATTCTTGACTTACCACTTTATCCCAACATTTTTCAACAAATCCTAACTAAAATCTGTCAAACCACTAGTCAGATGTAAGGGAACAGAAGAATCCCAGGGTGACACTGCTCGAGCATCTGAGGTTCTTCCAAGACCCGCGGCGGTGCTGACTACAGCGTGATCTCAGGCGAGGTGAAACCCCGGTTGTTTCTGATGGCTACTTGAAGCGCCTCCTCCATTCTTTTCATTGTAGAGTATTTAGGCAGGTCCAGGATACAATGGCACGTCAGTGATCTTGGGCTGTCTTTTTCACTCATGGTTTTAGGACAGCGGAATAATATTCCTATTTGCTGTAGGCCTCTTGCATGAAACTTATCACATCCTGTAAGAAAAACTAGAAAGGAACAAAATTTGGCTAAGATATTTTATAGAAAGAGAAAAACTGAAAGTGAAAAAGAGGAAATTAAGGACTGTATTCAGTAAGCGTTTAGTGAGTGCCTTGTTCAGAGAACTAACTACAGAGGACAGTGCAGAACATAGAAAAATCATGCTGGTGGTCTTTGTCCTCTTTGAGGTCATGGTCTAGTTGGGAGGAAAATAACAGTAAGATAGAAGGACACTTGATGTAGGCCAACTGGGAAGTAGGAGGTTAAGAGCTTAATTGAGACTGAGGGCAAGGAGATGTCCAGGGGTTACACCTGGCCCATCCTCAAGGAGAGGGATTGAGTGAGCTTTGAAGGCACAGGGACAATCCCAAGAAAAAGCCAGAGGTGGGAAGATGTGAGTGGACTCACTGGCTGAACTACTGGGCTGAAGCAAGAGTTTCCTATTAAGAGAGACCAGAAGGGTTGGTTTTGAGGAGATGTCAGAATTGTCCTCCAATAAGCAGTGAAAACAGCAAGAAGATGAAAGATGTGTATGTCAAGAAAAGTGAATAAAAGGGATGAGATGGTGAAAGAATAAATCATAATGTCTGCCCCAAAGAAGCTGTAGAGTTCCCACCAGGAGGAGCCATAAGGTCACAGAGCTTAGCTGTGCAAACACAGACAAGCACTAAATGCCCCAAGCCTTTTTCCTCATTTCTACAATGGGAAAAAAATAGTATAACAACCCCATAAGGGGTTGCTACTAGGATAATGGGATATGATAAAAATAAAGTGATCGATACAGTGGCTGGGACAGAGTAAGCACACAAAAATGCCACTGCTGTTACTACTACCATTGTTGGTGGCCATCGCTATTGTTGTTTCTAAAACAACAAAATAGAGGCAGTGATACCATCTTCATTTCCTGGGAGTCAGATAACACAATGACTACAGCAATGTGAGACAGAGGGCTTAAGAACCAACTAACTGAAGTATGGAAAGAGGATATGAAACCCAGAGGTGGGATTAGAGTCGACAGAAAAGGTAGTGAAATGTGGAACAATTGTGTGGTACAATGCGTTAAGCTGCCACTTGGGACCCCAGCATCTCATAGCGGAGCGCCTTGCTGCAGTCTCAGCTACTCTATTTTCAGTCCTGTTTCCTGACAGTATGTCAGGGAGAAAGCAGGTGATGGCTTTAGTACTTGGGGGACCCAGCTGGAGCTCCAGGCTCCTGGCTCAGCCCTGGCTAATGTAGCATTTGGGGAGTAAACCAGTTGATGGAAGATGGATCTCACTCTCTCTCTCTCTTTCTCTCTCTCTCTCTGTCTCTCTGTTACTCTACCTTTCAAATAAATAATTTTTAAAAAAATTTTTTATTTATTTGAGAGACAGAGTTACAGATAGTGAGAGGGAGAGACAGAAAAGTCTTCCGTCCACTGGTTCACTCCCCAAATGGCCGCAAAGGCCAGAGCTGCACCGATCTAAAGCCAGAAGCCAGGAGCATCCTCCAGTCTCCCACACGGGTACACTGGCTCAAGCACTTGGGCCATCTTCCACTGCCTTTCCAGGCCACAGCAGAGAGCTGGACCGGAAGAGGAGCACCCGGGACCAGAACCAGAGCCCACACAGGCTGCTGGTGCCACAGACGGAGGATTAACCCACTGCGCCACAGCGCCAGCCCCATCAAGTAAATAAATTTTTTTTAAAAACAGTAATACAATCTCTATCTTTAAAAAAAGAATGGGAAACAGGCTTGTGTCAGAGTGAGAACGCTGGCCTGGAAGGCAGGGAACCTGAGCGCTCATCCTTGCTCTCCATGAACACATGTGACCTACCATTAAGGGCAACTTCACTGAAAACACGATATTTAACTTTTTACAAGATGTAAAATGAGTGGCCCATCTATTACTATAGTACTCACAGAGGAATTTTTTCTTCTCATCCAAAGTCAGCTTGTGGAACGCCTTCCAAAACAACACTATAGTGCGGTCTGATTCGTGGTATCCTTCTAAATACTTTGAATTCTTGAGAGGAAAAAAAAAGAAAAACAAAAATTTTGGAGGCTGGGGCCAGGGGAAGGAATACTTAGGAGTTGTTTAGAAAAATTAGGAGCACTTTAGATACCACCTACCTTTTCGAATTGTTCCCAGTCGTAATCAGAATTTCCAACGACTGCTGTCATGAGTTCTTCAGGGTGGAAATACTCGATGATGTCCTTGTCACAGACTTTATAAAATCCCCTCTGAAATTTCTCATACACGGCCTTTACAGAGACGTTGAAGATGTAGTCAACACATTGAGAGACATAGTCTTTCCTTTCAGGAAGGGAGAAAAAACTCCATCACATACTTAACCAGGGACTAAAATATTCTATTCTCTACCTCGTTCTTTTTAATTGTGTCTATCGAGAAAAACAAGACAATGACTTCTACAGGGCACACAAGCCTGTACCTAAGGAGGACAGAAGGGCCTGGTCAACCAGGGGAAGGGACCTCAGACAATATCTATGGAAGGACTAAGATTTTATTTTGTTCTCATTTTCCTCACTGCACTCTGGACTTTTTAAAAAACAGTAATCAGAATATAGACGCTCCCAGACTTACAATTGAGAGGGCGGGAGGGGGGGTAGTCAGAGCCCCATAAACCTGTTGTATGTTGAAAATGTCACTAAGTCCTGCTCCAATTCACAGAGTGAATTTGTTAGATAAGATAGATAGACTTCCAGACCCAGGACAGGCAGGGCCTGCACTAAGCCCCTCCTAAGCAGGAAGCAGCTACAGAAGAAATGATGATTCTATACCCTTCAACATCTCTTAGGATTAAGGGAATGGAGTCTCTGAGCAGGGAATGATGTAGGCAGGCATACAGGGTAAAATGGATCAGGTTTGTGAGCTGGAAGACCACGCCTTCACCATGCCCCTGTGTGACCTCATGCCCTTACCTGGCCACACCTGTGTGCCCACCAGCCAATCAGGCTAATTAACTACTCCCCTTTGGAAGTGGATTAAAGGCCTGGGACACAGTGGGCATAGCCCTTTTCTTTGGCCTTTTGCCATTGTGGGCAAGAATCTGTAATAAAAATTAAACCACACCTCTTCCACTTCAAAAGCAGATCGTCCAGGTCTCGAGACTTACTTGTTGCTTTGGTCCACAGGTATGGAGATCCCATTTGGAATTAAAGCAACATTATTTTGGTCCCAATGTATCTGTAAGTAAGATGTGTCCAGGTACCAAATGTGAAAGGAACTCTGAATATCAACCACCCATAATACCACTATTGCAAATATATTTTTCCCTAGATAATTTAAAGTAACTGGGTGCTAAATATTTTTATCATTCAATCTTTTAAATATATAGAAAAGTTATTAAAACCTACCCTTGTATATGTTGCATGTAGCTTTCAAGCCTAAATTATTCTATTTAGTTCACATTGTTCAAAGTAATTGATTAATAATTTTAGCTTAATTAAACTTTGAGAATACATGCACAAAGTATCAAATGAGGAGTGGGGGTAGGGAAATCCTTGCAGTATGCAAGGAAAATATCTTTTAAAAATGGGATCTTGGGGCTGGCATGGTGGTGTAGCAAGGTAAAGATGCTGCCTGTGATGCCAGTATCAAGCCCCAGCTGCTCTACTTCTGATCCAGCTCCCTGCTATGGCCTGGGAAAAGCATCAGAAGATAGCCCAGCCCTTGGGCCCCTGTACCCATGTGGGGGACCTGGATGAAACTCCTGGATCTGGGCTTTGGCCTGGCCCAGCACTGGCCATTGCAGCCATCTGGGGAATGAACCAATGGATGGAAGATCTCTCTCTCTCTCTCTCTCTCTCTCTCTCTCTCTGTAACTCTTTCTAAAAAAATAAATAAATAATTTTAAAGGGGGGGAATATCTATAACATATTGTAATAAAATTATTCTTTAAAATCTCAATTTAAAATTAACCGTAATCTGGCTCTTACGTACTTACAGAAAAATACATGCTGAGATCTTCAAAGTCATCAGCTTCACCATTTAGAATTTCTTGCAAATTCCTAATGAAAATGTTGATTTAAAAATTAAATATTTTGATCTTACAAAATTTCCAACTAATAAATTTCCATTGAAAAAATATTAAAATGTCTAAAATGCAATGTAAATTTTTCTTTCCTCTACCTTCTCACTCCCTCCTCTTAGAGTTAACTTCTCTTTACAGTTTGACTTGTCCCATGGCTACCCCACAGACACTGCTGTGCTTGTGAAAAATAAATGAAGGGTCTCCTTTCACTAGGCCAGGGATTTTCAACCAGCTGAGTTTTGTGTACCAAAGTCCAGAGACATCTTCAGTTGTCATAATTAGAGGGAGAGTTGCTACTGGCACCTAGTGGGGAAGGAGCCTAAATGCCACTCAACAAAAAATTAAACAGCCCCACCTGGGACGCTGGCATCCCATATCAGAGCACCAGTTTGAGGCCTGGCTGCTCCGCTTCCCAGTCAGCTTCCTGCTAATTTGCCCGGGAACCCAAAAGATGGCCTCAGTACTTGGGCACCTGCTACCCACATGGGAGAGGACGGACACACCTCTGGGACCTGGAGCACCAGGCTCCTGGCTTCAGCCTGGCTGAGCCCTGGCTGTTGTATGCATTTGGGAAGAGAACAAGTGTGTGAAGAATCTCTCTTTCTCTTTCTCTTCCTCTTTTCCGCTATCCCAGTCACTCTGCTTTTCAAATATATATTTAAGTTCATGAAAAATTCACATCTTCTTTTAATTCCATTTTCCACAGATTTTTAAGCCATTGTGTGTGTGTGTGTGTGTGTGTGTGTGATTTCACACTTATATTGTATCCTATCCAAAGTACCTGTTTCCTGGATGAAGTCAAGGACTGAACTAAAGCTGTGTTTACAACAGTAATTAATAATTTGAGGAGTGGTTAGCTTTTCTCCATTGAATTACATTCAATTATAACTCATGATAAAATTCAAATTCACCTAAAGAGCAAACATTATTAAAACTGAAGGCCTTGTCTTTGAGTCTTTTGTGACATTATTTTTGCCTCAACAATGGAGACTTGCTAGGTACAGTCCTGAGAAGGCAATTATATGTACTCACTTCCCCAAAAGAGGACTAAGCTCTTTTAAATCTTCCAACGACGGCTTCTGGTCCAGAAGTTTCTTGTACAGAGCCAGTGGGAAGGGAAGGTTGGCAACATTGCAATGTAAGAGAGAAAGTCCACAGAGGATCCCAAAGAGTAAGTAGTTGTTCTTGTCACACTGAGGCTGAAAAGGGAGGAAGAAAAATAACTAACATAAATGAATTGGTAGATTAATTTTTAAAAGTTCTTTTTCCTTTAAAAATCAGAAATTAGAAGCAAAGTAGGTATTAGGAAATAAAAATTGGACATTTCTTTCACAGGATATAATACTATTTAAATTTGTTCCATATGGAGCCAGCATTGTGGTATAGCAGGTTCAGCCTCAGCCTGCAACACCAGCATCACATATGGGTGCCAGTTCAAGCCCAGGCTGCTCCAATTCTGATCCTGCTCCGTGTTAATGCATCTGGGAAAGCAGTGGAGGATGGCCCAATTCCTTGGGCCCCTGTACCCACATGGGAGACCCTGAAGAAGCTCCAGGCTCCTGGTTTTGGTCTGGCCCAGCCCTAGTCATTGTGACCATTTGGGGAGTGAACCAGCAGATGAAAGATCTCTCTCTTTCTCTGTCTCTCCTCTTTTTGTAACTCTGCCTTTGAAATAAATTTAAAAATAAATAAATCTTAAGTTTCTTCCATAATGGTCAATACAAATTAACAGTTCAGAACATTAAATAAACAAATTTCTTGTCTGCTATTTCTGCATATTTTGAATATAAACAATCTGTTCAGATAGCCTCATAAAGCTTTCACAATTTAATTTTATAGTCTTTGCCTTCAAATTCATACAGAGAAAGGAGGGTGCACTTTTTCTACACTTCCAGTGGGTGTCAGGCCTGTGAGACCCATGTCCCATGAGTGCTGCCCCCTTCTGTGATGAAGCCCACATCTGGGGTGTGCTCACAGGAACACGGGTGTGTGGCAGGGAGGTGACTGACGTTGCTGACCATGAAGGTGGAGAGGAGAAAGCAGGGGAGGAAGGAAAGAGTCCTTATGAAACTGGCTTCATTTCCCTTCTCTGCACTTTGTAGTCCTGGAGGAGAGAAGACCCTGACTCTCTCTGTCCAAGCTGTCACTGGAGCCCAGGAAGGGCAGACAAGTCACAATCCTGTAAACTCTAAGATTTCGATTCTAATGCCAGTCTTGTTAGCAGTTGCATGACCTTGGGCCATGCACATGACATTCTGTGCCCAAATCTACTTTCTCTTCTTACTCCTAGGAGTAGAGTAGTTGTAAGGAAAAGTAATAATTTTTAATTTTGATTTTGATTTTCAATTTTGAAAGTCAGGTAAAAGCACACTAATCTCCAAGGTAGCCAATCAATCTTTCCCATAATTTGTCCATGTCTTCTGGTTCCGGCTGATTTTGCCCCTTCGCTGAGCCATACACAAATTAGTTCAGATTTTTGTTTTGCTTTGTATCTTGGTCTCTGTTTTCTCTCGGGTAACATGGCATAATGCTTAAGGATAAGGACTCCGGGGGCTGGCATTGTGGCACAGAGTATTAAGCTTCCATATCAGAGGGTTGATTCAAGTCTCAGCTGCTCTTCCACTTGAGAAAGCAGTAGAAGATGACCCAAGTAGGTGGGCCCCTGCCACCCACGTGAGACCCAGATGTAGTTCCAGGCTCCTGGCTTCAACCTGGCCCAGCCCTGGCTGTTGCAGCTATTTGGGAAGAGAATCAATGGATGAAAGATCTCTTTCTCTCTCTGTCTCTCCCTGTTTCTCCATCTCTTCCTCTGTCACTCTGCCTTTCAAATAAGTAAAATAATTAAAAAAAAAAAAAAAAGAACTTCAGGGTCATACAGTCCTGAATTTACATCATGGCTTAGTCACTTACTAGCTATATGTCCTTGGGCAATTATTTTAACCTCTCTGAGCCTCGGTTTCCTCATATGTAAAGTGTGAATATAAACCATCCATCTCACAGAGTTAGTATAAGATTTCTTTTTCTTTCTTTTTTAAGGTTTATTATTTTAAAAAAAGATTTATTCACTTCTTTGAAATGCAGAGTGACAGAAAGGGAGAGAGAGACAGAGAGAAATATATTCGATTTGCAAGTTCACACCCCAAATGCCCACAGCAGCCAAGGCTAAGCCAGGCCAAAGCCAGAAAGTAGGGACTCCATCCTTGTCTCCCCAGTGCGTGGCAGGAACCCAAATACTTGGGCCACTATTTGCTGTCTCCCAAGTACATTAGCAGGAAGCTACGTCAGAAACGCAGAGTAGCCAGGACTCCAACTGGCCTGCTGATACGAGATGTGGGTGTCCAGGCAGCAGCTTAACTGCTGAACCACATGCCCACCTCAGAGACTTGTTTTTCTCTTTTCCATTCCTCCACTTGGATTTCCTTGGCCCACTTGATTTCAGTCCTTCACCATCAACCTCTGGTCTGCACTTCTCCTCCATACTTTCTCCAACCACTTAAGTCTTCCCTTAATTTCCTTCTGTCCTCAACAAAGATCCCTCAAACGTGTACGGCTCCCGAGCTCTGGCCTGGCTCTATGCTGTGCAGAGGCTCTCGGCAGCTGTAGTTGTTTATCTCTATCAACCTTCCCTCCCACCTGAGTGCATGCCCCCACCCCATGGAAGACTTGATGGACGTGAATATTAGCCCCTGAGGACCCAGAGCTATCTTTTCAATGGAATTAGCCCCACATTTCCAGTGACGATCCCATGCTCAGAGAAGGGACTTAACCAAGGTTGTGGTTGTGGTTGGGAACTAAAGGCCAACGACAGATGACCACTTTAAGGTGGATGGAGACGAAAATGAGCACCATTCACCTTTATGAAAGGCCAGCTTAGGGACTGGTGCAAAGGAGGAAGTGCTCACTGTTGAAGCACGGGCAGTGAATTACAATGGCAGCCCACTTCAGCAGCACTGGCAACTTTGAAAATGTCTGTACGGCCTATGCTCAACCCTTAAGGTGCTTGAAATAACATTACCTGGGGTCTGAAGGTGGAAGTGTGGCTAAGGGCCTGAGCGGGTTAGCTGTGGAGAAAGATTCAGAGTCAGGAGGGAAGAGGAGGAGGAGGAGGATGTCAGACTTTTAAGTGTTACCTGGACAGCAATCTGCCCCTGAGCGATGACAAGATTTCCCGGCATAAAGGAAAACTTGGGGTTGCTGAGGAAACAGATAAGCAGGAGAAGGAAGAGGAGAAAATTGAGGAGGAGAAAACTGAAGAAAAAAAGCTCCAGGGAAGAAATTTATACAATATAGTCCAGCCAAACTGCACAAAAATCAAAGCCTAAAGGGAAAGACTCAAAATCATCAACATTATGATCTAAAAGTCAAGAATCCAGGGCTGGTATTGTAGCACAGTGGGTTAAGCCACCAACAGCACCAGCACCCCATATGAGTGCCACTTGGTGTCCTGGCTGCTCCACTTCTGATCTAGCTCCTTGCTAATACGCCTAGGAAAGCAGTGGAAAGTGGCCCAAAGACCTGGGACCCTGAACCTATGTGACAGACCCAGATGAAGTTCCTGGCCTCCTGGCTTTGACCTGGCTCAGTCACAACCATTGCAGCCATCTGGGGAGTGAACCAATGGGTGGAAGATTTCTCTCCCTCTTTCTGTGTAACTCTTTCCTTTCAAATAAAGAATAATAATAGTAACGCCAGCCTGGTATCCCATATCGGTGGCAGAGGCCTACATATTTGAGCCATCTTCTGCTGCTTTCCCAGGGTACCTCTGCAGGAAGCCAGGTCAGAAATGGAGCCGCTGGGACTCAAAGTAGTACTCTGATATGGTATGCCAGTGTTACAAGTAAGTGGCTTAACCTGCTGCACCATAACACCCACCCACCTCAGGAATTAACTTGCAACACATGAATCCTTGAAGAACACTCAAGCCATATTCAGACCACAGTATCACTCCATTGTGACAGAAAGCAGATCCCTGGGGGAGAAGAGTGGGAGGAAGGGGTCGGAATGAAAGATGAGGAAACTTCTGGCAATGATGGACATGTTTGCTATTTGGTTGCGGTGACAGTTTCACAGTGTATGTGCAGAGCAAAAACTATCAAATTGGATCCTGTAAACATATGCATAATATATAAATATATGTAAATAAGCATTATATATATTATGCTTCCTTAAAGTTGTTTTTAAAAAGAGAGAGAGATTGTTAGGCAGTTAAATTAAGACAGTTACCATCGACTGGCTCACTCCCCAAATGCCTGCAATAGCCAGGACTGAGCCAGGCAAAAATCAGGAGCCCAGAACTCAGTCCTGGTCTCCCATGTGGGTGTGTATGAATGTTGAGGAGATAAACTTGGGAAGTTGCAGATATCAAGTTCCAATTCCTTTTGCCCTTGTCCCCTTATCTCTGTGCCTCTGAGGTAACTGATGTCATGGTAACTGACAAGCCTACATGCTTGGCTAGCTACCCACAAATCTTGTTATGGCACAGTTTGGCTCTGGGCCACTTCTATCTGTAAACAAACATAAGCAACTGGGGGCATGGCTAGGCGCAGCTGCTGTTGGATGGATGTGGACAGGTATGCGGCTGCCTGTGGACATCTGGCCATGTGTGTGTTCAGATGTCTCTGTGTGTGTGTCCAACCACAGCCATAGACACAAAGGTGGGTATCTCCTGTGGCACCACCACCTTTGGGGGCCACTCTGAGTAAAGAAGATATAAACCCACAAACGACCCTGAGATGTTCTCTGACTGTTGGGATCCAAATCTGGTAAGCCTGGGCCCTAAGCCCCAGGCATACAGTGAATTGCCTGGGCTGTTCTGATTCTGCAGGTCTAGGGTAAAGCCTCAGGTTCTGTTTTCCTAATAGTTCCAAGGTAATATTACAGATGAAGTTCTGTGGACCATATAAATAAATACTGTTCAAAATATGAGTAATAAGGTCACAATGACCTACTTTTATATTATTTTCTGTGGGTCTCATGTTGCTGGATATGGTATTTTTTTCTGTTCTGAAAAACCTTAAGAAAAGAAACATAAGACTTACAGTGACAGGAAACCACATGAAAGAACCATTTTCAGGATACATGAACATCCCATACTCTGGCTTGGTCATCTCTTCAAATATACAGTGGAAGAATTCCGACCGGACCCCTCCACTCTCGGGACGAATTTCTTTAACAAATCCAACCTAAGGGAAAACAACATTTCCTGGTCCATATTCAAAATGCAATGCTTTGATCACTATGGAAAACTTTTAAGCCTCTAACGTCCATTCCCGCAGTGACAAGAGTTACCAGAACCACGTTATCTTTCCTCCTTGTAATCTGGGTTCCCTCCCTTTGCTTCTGATCAGCAGGGGCCACGAACCTACTGACACCCAGACTGTTGTGTGGTGAGTACATAGATACTTTATACTGCCACATGTGCTATACAGAGGCGGAGACTGGCACTCTCTAATTATGCTAGTTTTTTTTTTTAATTAAAAAAAATTTCTTTTGGGGCTGACACTGTGGTGCAGTGGGTTCGGGCCCCGGCTTAGAGCAACAGCAGCCCACATGGGCACAGTTCTAGTCCTGGCTGCTCTTCTTCCAATCCAGCTCTCTGCTATGGCCCAGGCCCTTGGGCCCCTGTACCCACATGGGAGATCCGGAAGAAGCTCCTGGCTCCTGGCTCCTGGCTTTGGATCAGCGCAGCTCCAGCCATTGCGGCCATTTGGGGAGTGAACCAGTGGATGAAAGACCTCTCTCTCTCTCTCTCTCTCTCTCTCTGTAACTCTTTCAAATAAATTTTTAAAAAATGAAGAAAAGTATTTATTTTATTTGACAGAAAGCACTTCCCATCAACTGGTTCATTCCCCAGATGACCAAAAGTGCCACACAACAGAAATCCTACAGGTACCTGTTACAGATCAAAGAGAAGCTGGTTCCCCACACTCATGCAGATGTTTAAGCTCGACTGTCTTGATGTTAAGGGTGGGGACCTGATCTGATTAGGGTGGGTCTGGTGGAGGTCTTCAGGTCTTTGTGGGACACATGCCCTCAGAAGGTAGTTCTCATGAGAGGGTTGTTTATTTGAATTCGAGTTCAGCCTAACTTTTCTGTTTCCCAGTTGACCATGCGATCATTCCTGCACCATGACCAGCCTCCACCAGATCCGCACCGTGACCTCCAATCTATAAGCAGAAACAGAGCTTTTCCTTCACAAGAAGGAAAGTTAAAGTAATGGAAAAGGAAATGAAACAGCACCCACAAAGGATGAAGTGAAGGATGCCTGGAATTGAAATCCTTCATCTAAAACTAGAGCTAAAATGTAGGAAAAGCATCCATTCCTTTTGCTTCTTGGTCAGCACGTGAGTAGCCCCAATTCTTAATGCCTCCTTGAACAACGTATTTTGCACGTGACTGTGTGTTTCCTCCCACTGCACAGGTTTAGTATATTTCCCCAGTCCTTGACTTCAGTTCAGCTGTGTGGCTGTTTTGACTACAGCAATGTTTGTCGCATGATCTTTACCTTGCACTTCTGGCACTGCTGTGAGAAGAATGTGCTTGGTGATCACAGGAGGAAGAGGAAGGACATACAAAGCAGAACCAAACCACCCCAGCCAGGCCTATCCCTGGCCAATCCCAGACACGTAAACACACTCAAACAAAATCTGCAAAGCCACCCAAGTGACTTCAGCTTACACCAGCAGAGTCTGAGCTAAACTGCAGATCTGTAAACTAAGGTACTGTTATTTATTTAAAGGCCTTTAGGCTTGCATGGGTACGGTTCATTATGAAGCCATAAGTAGTTAATAGTTAACTCATAGCCCACTGTGAAACTGAACATCTCATTACTGTTCTTGGAAGGGTGAGAGGGGAATCCTGAAATGGTAAGGCTGACAACCATGGCTTCAAGCGCAGGCTCTAGGATGTCCCCTCCCACCCCAGTAAAAGCATTCAGGGACACCTTTTACCATACCACCAGTTCTTTGCAGAAGTCAGAGCTTTCAGCAGTGTTTAACTGACGCAGAGCATCTTCAACCAGGTGGCTTCGTCTGACTCTAAGTTGAAATATGGGAGGTTCAGGGTTTCTTTGTAGCAATTGGTGTTTTAAAAATATTTCTGTCATTTCTATCATTTTTAAATCCTAGAAAAAGAAAGAGCTGAGTTAGCTTCATTTTTTGACCTCATTGGAATCCCAGGGATTAATACTTCTAATGAGCATATTTCGTGTACATAACAGTTAATCCTACCATTGCTATGTATACTCACATGGTAATTATACAAATGAGCATCATGCCTAAATTACAGAAGAGAAAGTGATCACAGGATCGGACAAACCATGACACCTAGGAACTGTGTACAGCAGATTAGTCATTGCGGATGGACAGCCCAATAATGAAAAGCTATCTCGGGCCAGCGCCGCGGCTCACTAGGCTAATCCTCCGCCTGCAGCGCCGGCACCCCGGGTTCTAGTCCTGGTCAGGGTGCCGGATTCTGTCCCGGTTGCTCCTCTTCCAGTCCAGCTCTCTGCTGTGGCCCGGGAAGGCAGTGGAGGATGGCCCAAGTGCTTGGGCCCTGCACCCGCATGGGAGACCAGGAGGAAGCACCTGGCTCCTGGCTTCGGATCAGTGCACTGTGCCGGCCGTGGCGGCCATTTGGGGGGTGAACCAACAGAAAAAGGAAGACCTTTCTCTCTGTCTCTCTCTCTCTCTCTCACTGTCTAACTCTACCTAGCCAAAAAGAAACAAGAAGAAAAAAAAGCTATCTCAGGTCACTTAGAATACAAAATATGCTTCTCAAAGGAAATATTGGTATTCAACATGCTGAGACATTCATCTACCGTCAGACCTAAGAAGCAGGGTGCTAGTACCATAACCCTAGGAAGAGAAGGGCAGGGCAGCGGCTCAGGGACATTGTGTGCCCTACAGGGAAAGGGCAAGAGGCAAGGCTTAGAGAAGATTGATTCTCTTCTATAAAATTCTGAGGATGCAGCTACTCAATCTTTCAACTGCACTGGAACTCTCAAAATAGACCTCCAGTGGCCCCATTTTGTATACAGCAATGCTCCACACACCCTAACTGATACTGCTCTTCAGGTTTCCTGAGTTATCAACATTCCCTCACCACTTTAATCCCTGCTCTCGTTTCTTCTGAATTCCTTCAGATTAGAAATGTACTGTTGAACCTGCTTTCCTTGCTTTGACCTTCAACACATCTCTAGGGTTTGGTATATATCACCAGAACAACAGGGTATTTAGGACTCAAAAACCGACATGGCCCCCTTGGGACTTGTCTTGCATTCGTGGCAGCAAGACCAGTGGATCACAGTGATCTTGGTCCAGATTTTTGTGGCTGGGTATGTTTGCCTACAGCAGCTCTGTACATGCACCCCTGAAAGTGTACCTCTGATTCAGGGCCTGGAAAATCCGTGCCACCACTCGATACTGAGCAATGAAACCACTAGATTCTTCTGGGTTTTCCTTTAGGTGATTTTTTCCTTCCCTTTCTTTTTCTCTTTCCCTTTCCTTTCTCTTTCCTTCCCTGAGGCTCAGGCGTCTACAGCTCTGGGATGTGTTGGTAATACAAGGGTACTTCAAAATGTTCACGGAAAATGAAATTTAAAGATAAGTTTAGGGGCCGGCGCCATGTTGCAGTAGGTTAATCCTCTGCCTGTGGCATTGGCATCCCATATGGCTGCCGGTTCTAGTCCCAGCTGCTCCTCTTCTAGTCCAGTAGAAGATGGCCCAAGTCCTTGGGCCCCTGCACCCGTGTGGGAGACTGGAAGAAGCTCCTGGCTTCTGATTGGCGCAGCTCCAGCCGTTGCGGCCATTTGGGGAGTGAACAGATGGAAGACCTTTCTGTCTCTCCCTCTCACTGTCTGTAACTCTACCTCTCAAATAAATAAAATCTTTAATATATATATATATATATGTTTATTTTAGTGCAAAACAAATTTGAATTCATACATATGGGGTAGATGTTTGGCTTGGTGGCTAAGATGCTCATTGGGATAACCACAGTGTGCCTGAGTTTGAAGTAGGCTTCTGACTCCAGCTTCCTGCTCATGAGTATCCTTGAAGGTAACAATGATAGCTTGAGTAATTGGGCTCCTACCACTCACATGGGAGACCTAGATTAAGTTCCCAGCTACCAGCTTTGCCTAGCCCAGCCCAGCCAGGGAAGTGAAATAGCACAAGGAGCTTTCTCTCTCTCTCTGCATCTCAAAAAGTAAATAAAAATTTTAAAAGAATACTACCTACATTAAGAAAAATCCATGCATTAAAGGCTTTCAAGTTCATGAAAATGCATATTATGAAGAAATGAATGGAGTTTAACAACTTTTTAAGTTTATTTTTAATTATTTTAACGGCAAGGTTATATATATATATGTATATTTATACATACACACATTTTTGTATATGTATAGAAAAGAGAGAAATATATATAGAGAGATGGGATCTTTCATCTTCTGGCTCACTTCCCAAGTGCCTACAACAGATAGGCCTGGGCCAGGTCAAAGCCAGAAGCCCAGAACCCAATCCAGGTCTCCCAAGTGGGTGGCAAGGACTTGAGCCATCATCTGCCGCCTCCCAGCATGCACATTAGCAGAAAGCTGGATCAGAACTGGAAGCAGGACTCAATCCCAGGTACCCTAATTTGGGATGTGAGTGTCCTAAGTTGCAGTTTAACCTGCTGTGCAACTACATGGAGTTCAAAAAATTTGTGTACCACAGTAAATTTATCTTTCAATTTCACCTTTTCACTAACTTTTTGGCATACCATCCTACTGACTGCTCAGTAGTATGTCCCATGGCCCTGGGTGACAGGTAGTATCTAGCAAAGTCCTGCACTGACTATAGCAGGAAGAGGTTTCTATAGCTTCTCTCATCTAATCAAGAGCTGGGTTGGAAAGACGCATCTTATATTATTCTCCTGCCTCTCTTGTCTATATTCTCTACTCCTCTTGTCTATATATTGGGTTTTCCTTTCTACAATGACACATATGAACTGTTTGGCACTTATCCCCTTTAAAGAACAGGATTGTGATATCTGCTTTCCAATTTCACTCCATTTCTTCCCCAGTCTTTCCTAATGTACAGCCCACCTGGGTCCACTATCCAGGTCAGCCTCAACTCCTCAACAACAGAAGAGACAGATTCAGCAGGGAGAAACACTGTGATGGAAGAACATATCAGGGAGGGGAGGATTTGCTTAAGGGAGACTTATGGGGAGATTAGGTTTGGGGAGGAAAGGCTTAATCTACTTTCTCCACTTACCAAGGATGTTAGGAAAATAAAAACTGAGATAGTTCAGAAACAAAATAAAAGATGACCTGGTCAAATCTATTTATAAACATACTGATAATAGATATTCGCTTGTATATTTAGTTCTCTAAGATAGTTTTTTTTTTTTTTTTTTTGACAGGCAGAGTGGATAGCGAGAGAGAGAGACAGAGAGAAAGATCTTCCTTTTGCCGTTGGTTCACCCTCCAATGGCCGCCGCGGCTGGCGCACTGCGGCCGGCGTGTCGCGCTAATCCGAAGGCAGGAGCCAGATGCTGCCTCCTGGTCTCCCATGGGGTGCAGGGCCCAAGCACTTGGGCCATCCTCCACTGCACTCCCTGGCCACAGCAGAGAGCTGGCCTGGAAGAGGGGCAACCGGGACAGAATCCGGTGCCCCGACCGGGACTAGAACCCGGTGTGCCGGCGCCGCTAGGTGGAGGATTAGCCTATTGAGCCGCGGCGCTGGCCAATAGATATTCTTTAACAGTAACCAGGAGGGCAGGCTTTACCTGTGGCAGGCTAATAGGATGTACCTTGTGTTTAGATTGCCTATTGTAAATAAACCTGGAAGTGATGAATTCATGGCACACTGGGATATGGCATATAAGCTCTGTAATTAATAGAATAGGAAAAGAAAATGTTTCCTAATTGAAATGGCTCCTTTAGTGAATATGGTATCTTATACTTATCTATGTCCCCTCTAGATGGCCTATGTCCTCTGAGTTATTAATAAAAGTCACTAGTAGGCCGGCGCCGCGGCTCACTAGGCTAATCCTCTGCCTAGCGGCGCCGGCACACCAGGTTCTAGTCCCGGTTGGGGCGCCAGATTCTGTCCCGGTTGCCCCTCTTCCAGGCCAGCCCTCTGCTGTGGCCAGGGAGTACAGTGGAGGATGGCCCAGGTGCTTGGGCCCTGCACCCCATGGGAGACCAGGAGAAGCACCTGGCTCCTGGCTCCTGCCATCGGATCAGCACGGTGCGCCGGCCGCAGCGCGCCGGCCACGGCAGCCATTGGAGGGTGAACCAACGGCAAAGGAAGACCTTTCTCTCTGTCTCTCTCTCTCACTGTCCACTCTGCCTGTCAAAAAAAAAAAAAAGTCACTAGTGAGTATGATTTCTAATTCATATCTTTTTTTTTTTTTGATAGGCAGAGTTAGACAGTGAGAGAGAGACAGAGAGAAAGGTCTTCCTTTCATTGGTTCACCCCCCAAATGGCCGCTACGGCTGGCGTGTTGCAGCCGGCGTGCTGCACCGATCTGAAGCCAGGAGCCAGGTGCTTCCTCCTGGTCTTCCATGCGGGTGCAGGGCCCAAGCACTTGGGCCATCCTCCACTGCCTTCCCGGGCCACAGCAGAGAGCTGGACAACCAGGACAGAACCGGCACCCCAACTGGGACTAGAACCCAGAGTGCCGGTGTCGCAGGTGGAAGATTAGCTTAGTGAGCCGCAGCGCTGGCCTCTAATTCATATCATTATAGAATAAATGCAGGGCCGGCACCGCGGCTCACTTGGCTAATCCTCCGCCTGCAGCGCCGGCATCCCATATGGGCGCCGGGTTCTAGTCCTGGTTGCTCTTCTTCCAGTCCAGCTCTCCGGATCGGTGCAGCATGCCGGCTGTAGCGGCCATTTGGGGGGGTGAACCAATGGAAGGAAGACCTTTCTCTCTGTCTCTCTCTCTCACTAACTCTACCTGTCAAATAAGTAAATAAATAAATAAATAAATGCATAGATAAATAGATACAATCCTTAACTGAGGCGTAACCTAGAAAATAAGCCTCAGCAATTAAAAAAGCATGCTTGGAAAATCTTCAGCACAATGTCCGGGGAATAAGCAGTATGTACACCTGAGAATGAAGGCTGACAGGAATAAAGAAACACAATAGCATGTGGAAATAAGACAACTACCAGAAAGGACTGGAAGGGTGAGAGTAAGTGGAAAACAGAATAAACTCATTGACTAATAGGCATTATCTGAGAATAAAAGAAAAATCAAGCTCCAAGAAATCTGAAGAGATATTAAAATCCAAAGACCAGCACTAAGAACAAAGTAGTGTCAATACTGAAATTGATTAGAGGAAGAGAGGAGAGCTGGAAAGTTCAGTTTGCTAGTCTCAGCACTGCTCACAGTAGGGAAACAATAGGTAAACATCCTATAATAATGTGAAATGCAAATTAAAATTAAACTGAGCAATGTGTCTTCAGCCTGGTGTCTAAGATACCAGTTAAGTGGCCCATATCCCAGATCAGAGTGTCTGGGTTCGATGCCTTCCTCAAGCTTCTGATTCCAGTTTCCTGCTTATGTACACCCTGGGAGGCAGCAGCGATGGCTCAAGTAACTGAGTTCCTGCCCCCAACACGGGGTACCTGGATTCAATTTCTGGCTCCCAGCTTTGGCCCCGTCAAGGAGCCATTTTGGGCATTTGGGGAGTGATTCAGCAATAGGAGCTCCTTCTCTTTGTCTGTGTCTCTGCACCTCTCAAATAAATAAAATTTTTTAAGTTAAACTGAAATATGATTAACTCATCATACTGGAACAGATTACAGAGATTGGTGACACTGTGCATTGGTGAAAGCATGTGGAAGAGGCATTTCATACACTGATGGTAGGAATATCAATTGGTACAGACTATATAAGATGATTTGGCAACATTTAATAAGTACCGGAAAAGGACCAAGTATTACTCTACTGTCTTATGTAAGTGGATTTTTTATGTAAGTGGATTTTTTAACCATTGTAGGGTAAGCAAATATCCTTGACTGATGAGGAAAAGTTTTGCTTTTTTCTTTTAAATAGAATTCCAATTAACAACTTTGAAGGGAGTGGTAAGATTAGAAACACTACCATCTGGCAAACCTGAATAAAAACAATGCATGTAATTATTAAATAAACAGTCTATGTGTATAAAAGTTCAAAAGACTGACAGGAAACACTGCAACGGAAGATTCTTGTGGTTGTCACATGAACCCCCTGGTGAATCTCAGTATGAACAAGACTGAGACAACCAGGGCAAATGCATTAGGGCACAGAAAGGTAGAAAGAAATTGAGCCTGGGGTTTGCTTTAAAATATTCCAGCAAAAACAGTAAGAACAAAATCAGCAGATAAAGAAACCATGGCAATATGTTTATAGGTTATGATAAGTGGTGTATCCTGGTGATTAGATCATATCTGTAGGTTATATAGGTTTGAAACTTTACATAGAAAAAAAAAAAAAAAAACAGGGACCAGGTGATGATTTGAGTGTGTTCCCCAAATGTTCATATGTTAGAACACTGGTCCCCAGTGTGGTGGTATCAAGCTGATGAAAACTTTAAGAGGTGGGGTCTAATGGGAGGTGGTTATGTCACCCGGCACCTCCCTCAGAAGGGATTACTGCTGGTCTCTAGGGGTGAATTGGTTTTCCAGAGAGGGGATTATAAAGCCAGGCATGTAGTTGGCCTCTTTAGCAAGTGGCCTTTTTGCTCCATTACATTCTTAAGCCTCCAGAACCATGAGTTAAATAAGCCTCTTTAAAGTCCTCAGCCCCATGGCCGGCGCTGCGGCTGAATAGGCTAATCCTCCGCCTGCGGCGCTGGCACACTGGCCAGTTCTCTGCTATGGCCCAGGAGTGCAGTGAATGGCCCAAGTGCTTGGGCCCTGCACCCCATGGGAGACCAGGAGAAGCACCTGGCTCCTGGCTTCAGATCAGCGCGATGCGCCGGCTGCAGCGCGCCGGCAGTGGCAGCCATTGGAGGGTGAACCAACAGCAAAAAGGAAGACCTTTCTCTCTGTCTCTCTGTCTCACTGTCCACTCTGCCTGTCAAAAAATAAAAATTAAAAAATAAATAAATAAAGTCCTCAGCCCCAGGTATTTCATTATAGCAATACAAAATGGACTAATATAACATACATACCTCAATTTTTATATATGAAGCTGCTTGTAATAATTTAATTTTGGACTGCAAATTAAAGATAAATGGGAAATCACTGAAAACAACAAGACTGGAATTTTCTGCAGTTTTCTAAAAAATAAAGAGACAATTATTTTTTAATTAAAGGAAAAAAATCATTCCATTACCTTATCAACTAAAATTATTTCCCTCTATGATGCTGGAATTCTTGGAATTCTCAAAATTCAAATTATCTAACAATAAATTTTTGAGAAAACAGACTTGCTTTATAAGTGAAAAATCTTTTTAAGGTTTTAATGATCATCTGTTTTAGCAAAGTCAGCATTACATTTATCAAAGGACTATCTACACACTACTAAGTTATCCCATTTCCAAGTATGAACATTGTAGTGAGTGCAAACATTATTCTAACCATGTTCTGTTTCCGAAAGAGCCGTCTTTTTGTCTCGGTGTAAAAGTTTAAGTTGTCAAGTTCATCTATGTTGAAAGTATTTTCTGGCAGTCGACAGATAGTTTTGTTTACCTAAAGAGAACAGGACATTAGAATTTCACTTTCTATCAATAAATGATTTAATCTAGGTTATACAGATATATACATATGGTGATGATATCAATAACCAAAATAGATGTCCACAAACTTAATACATTTGTCAGTGATGAAACAGTTACACAATTTCCATTTTCTTCCCTACAATTTCTCCAATTTTCATAAAAAAAAAAAAATTGTCAAAGATATAGGATGCTGGCAGTGGGGATTAATAAACTAATCCATAGGGCTTGGGTTTACTGGAAACTTTCCAGATCTTCAGTCTGAAAGCACCATGAAAAGCCAATGTACTCTGGACACATTCAGCATTTTCTCCATTAATTAATGAATATTATTTTGGCACACACTATTTTTTCAGGCATAGGACAAACTATAACATAAAAACTGACCTGGATTCTTCTAATACATGTCAATATTTATTATAAAGATACAGTAACGAGGACAATGTTGAACAAGAAAAGATGAACAGGGGCCAGCCATGTGGCGGAGTGGATTAAGTCACCACTTGCAACCAGAGTGCCAGTTCAAATTCTGGCTGCTCTGCTTCTGATGCAGCTTCATGTGAATGTGTCTGGAAAAGCAGCAGATAATGGCCCAAGTGCTTTGGCCCCCGCCACCTTCATGTGAGACTCAAACGGAGTTCCAGGCTCCTGACCTCAGCCTAGCCCAGCCCAGCCATTGCAGCCATGTGGACAGTGAAACAGTGATGGAAGAGCTCTCTCTCTCTCTCCCTCTCCTCTCCCCTCTACTTTCCTTTCCTCTCCTCTCTCCTTCTCTCTGCCTTTCAAATAAGTAAATCTTCAAAAAAAAAAAAAAATAGATGAACAGACCCATGGCTAAATACTTTATTTTGAACATAAGGAATAGTACACAGTACCGGGGGTGTGTGGGGAGGAGATCTATTTTATTAAGAAGTAAAATCAACCTAGAAGGGGAAAAAGAGAGTCAGGTATAAGGGAAAGTACCCTCATATGAAGCCCCATGTGTAGTCAGAAAGAATGAAACCTGAAAAAGCGAGAAAGAAAGAAACAACTGATGAAAATAAATCTGGCTCCCAGGATACATGGCTAAGTTATCATGACTTAATACTATGCTTTCTTTTCTTTTTTTTTTTTTTTAAGCAAATAAATCTCAAGATATACATTTTTTTTTCCATCTGCCAACAAGGCAGAAAAGACCCTGCTGAATGAAATCACTGGGAACATTCCAAGTTCAAAATAAAACTTTTAACTTACACATAATAAAAGATTTGTACAATATTGGGGTGGGGGAAGGACCTGAACACATTCTGCCACACACAGACGTATTCACGTATGGGAAAGGGGGAGCCAACATTTCAAACACCAACGTGTTCTGCACCATTAACTCATTAACTAAATGGCCACAGTGACTTCCATGTCAATGTTAGAACTTCTTGGATTACCATTATAATACAATTTACTTAAAAAAAAAAAAAAAAAAAAAAAGGAAAGCACAGGAAGAACTCCCAACAGTGTCTGAGGACAGAGACTAAGGTGATGTCCATTGCATGTAGGCAGGCGAGGCAGAGGCATTTCTTCTAAAGCTTTTGCACAGACTTTATTTCATCTTTAAAAAAAATATATGCAGACCTTTACAAGATTTGACTTGCTGAAACCTAAATATTTTAACTCACGGAAAGTCATTAAGACTTCAGCTTTCAAGAAAAAAAAAAAAAGTTCCAGCCTAGAACTACCACCCACAGCTGAGTGAAGATGACATAAGAAGTCCTGGACTTCTGGACACCACTGATTCCAGGTAGCCCTTATGTAAAAGACCAATCCCTCTGGCGACCAAATGTCAACAGGGTCAACAGGGCCACAGAGCATACGGATACCAAAGCCTAATGGCCTTACCTAATCACCCTACAGAGATTTAACAAATATCCTGATGTGGGCAGTTAGAATGAAATAATAAAGCAATATCCATAGGCCTTTTCTTTCTTCTGGCCATAATCCTTTGTGAACTTTTCTTTTTTTCTTTTTATTCAATTTTTATTGGTTTTCAGTAAGTGCATAAATCTTACATGCACAGCTTGGAGAGTTTTTGCACACATACAGACTTAAGTAAGTACTGTTTGGATGAACACATGGGACATTCCAGTGGCCTCCAGGACGTTCCCTCAGGCTCCTTCCAAGTCAACTGCCCTCCCCACCAAAAGGTAACATCATTCAGCTTTTGAACTATCATTACAGATTAAATTTACCTGTTTTGAAATTCATATAAAAATCAAGTATGCTGGCGCCACGGCTCAATAGGCTAATCCTCCACCTAGCAGCACCGGCACCCCGGGTTCTAGTCCCGGGGCACCGGATTCTGTCCCGGTTGCCCCTCTTCCAGGCCAGCTCTCTGCTGTGGCCCGGGAGTGCAGTGGAGGATGGCCCAAGTGCTTGGGCCCTGAACCCCATGGGAGACCAGGAGAAGCACCTGGCTCCTGCCTTCAGATCAGCGCGGTGCGCCAGCCGCAGCCCTCCAGCCGCAGCGGCTATTGGAGGGTGAACCAACGGCAAAAGGAAGACCTTTCTCTCTGTCTCTCTCTCTCTCTCACTGTCCACTCTGCCTGTCAAAAAAAAAAAAATCAAGTATGCAATTTTTTGCCCCTTTGTCAATGAGATTCTTCCGTGTTATGCATGTAGTAGTATCCTCAGTGTACTTTTTCTTAATGAATGAGGTTCACTAAAAAGCCTCTTCAGTCCCATAAAGTTTCCCACATTTTAATTCCTCAATTATTTTATTCCAGATATTTCCCTTTTACACATTACAGTCAGTCCTCCATATCCAACAGACATTCTCATCCACAAATTCAACCAACCCTGGATCAAAATTACTCAAAAAAACAAAATCAAAAAAGCCCCTCCACATCTGTACTAAATAAACATGTACAGACTTTTTTTTCTTTGTCATTGTTTCCTAAACAACATAACTATTTACATATCATTTACATTGTGTTAGATATTAAAAGTAACCTAAAGATAATTTAAGTTATTCAGGAAGATGGACATAGGTTATATGTAAATATTATGTCATCTTACCTAACGGACTTAGCACCTGTGCTTTTTGGTTCTGGAACCAATCCCCTGCAGATATTGAGGGATGACTGTACTTTAAAAAAAAAATTGATTGCTCATGACACTTATTTGTCTTCTCAAGACCCCAACCAGCAGGTAGGCCACTGCTTATGACACCCTCATCCCATATTGGAATGCCAATTTGAATCCCAGATATTCTGCTTCTTATCCAGCTTCTTGGAAAAGCAGTGGAGGATGGCCCAAGTAATTTGTTTCTGCCACCCACATTGGAGACCTGGACAGATTTCCAGGTTCCTGGCTTCAGCGTGACCTAGTCCCAGCCACTGGGGAAGGCAACCAGCATTGGAAACTCTCTCCCTCTCTCTCTCTTCCTTCTCTCTGTCTCTCCCTTTCTATGTCACTTTGCCTTTCAAACATATAAATCTTTAAGAAGAAAAGACTCCAAGTGGCTAAGATCTAAGGGATTGTGGTTTAATAAAGTGGCATACACATTCCTTTAGATGAGCCCTTACCTTATGCACTTTTTTCATCATTCCTAGAAGAACTTTAAGATTATTATCATTCTGATAGGTTCGAGGGCCATAAGCCAGGGAGACGACAGCTGTTTTAAGCATCTGGATCAGTGTATTCAGAGAAGATTCTTGCAAAGATGCCCAACACCTTTCTGAGGAGTATAAAATCAGTCATGATAAAGACAGTCCTGTCATGTCCCACCCCCCCCCCCATACCAGTCCCTCAGTCTCTACCAAGTTCTTTAATATAAGAAATGAATAATGTTCTCCACTTGAGATGTCACAACCCATGACATATCCTTTCCAAGGCCCTCATTCTAGACAACACTACTCACAGATGTGGGCAGGAAATGCTTGCCCTGGTTAAGTGTCATTAGAATTAAAAGTTCAAACTATGGATTTGAAGAACATTGTTCAACTAACTGAGCACCAAAAAGGAAACCTGTTAAAGTGAAATGAACACTATGAGAAACGGTGACTTGATCAGTCCTTGCCCTGACTGTTGATGAGCAACTTAATACGTTATCCCTCTTAGTATTTTTTTTGTTTGTTCTACTTAATACTTTTGGTTGAATACTATAATCAATACACAGTTATTCTTAAGTGTTGAAACTTAACTGAAAAGTGATCGCTATTAAATATAAGAGTGGGAGTAAGAGAGGGAAGAGATGTGTAATTCGGGACATGCTCAAGCTGACTTACCTCAAACGGTAGAGTTAGAAACATACCAGGGGATTCCAATTCAATCCCATCAAGGTGGCATGTACCAATGCCATCTCACTAGTCCCAGTGATCAATTTCTGTTCACAATTGATCATAATGAAAGGACTAAGAGCCAAAGGGAGCACATAAACAAGACTAGTGTCTGCAAATACTAGCTGATAGAATAAAAAAGGGAGAGGACAATCCAACATGGGAAGTGAGATACACAGCAGACTCATAGAATGGCAGATGTCCTAAATAGCACTCTGGCCTCAGAATCAGCCCTTAAGGCACGTGGATCTGGCTGAAAAGCCCATGAGAGTATTTCAGGCATGGAAAGCCAAGACATTCTGGCAAAAAAAAAAAAAAAAAAAAAAAAAAAAAAAAAAAAAAAAAAAAAAACCACAACCTAAATGAAAGATCTTTGCGAGTGAGATCCCAGTGGAAAGAACAGGTCATCAAAGAAGGAGGTACCTTTCCCTGAAGAGAGGAGAGAACTTCCACTTTGATTACGACCTTGTCTAAATATGATCAGAGTCGGTGAACTCGGCCGGCGCCGCGGCTCACTAGGCTAATCCTCCGCCTAGCGGCGCTGGCACACCGGGTTCTAGTCCCGGTTGGGGCCCCAGATTCTGTCCCGGTTGCCCCTCTTCCAGGCCAGCCCTCTGCTGTGGCCAGGGAGTGCAGTGGAGGATGGCCCAGGTGCTTGGGCCCTGCACCCCATGGGAGACCAGGAAAAGCACCTGGCTCCTGGCTCCTGCCATCGGATCAGCGCGGTGCGCCAGCCGCGGTGGCCATTGGAGGGTGAACCAACGGCAAAGGAAGACCTTTCTCTCTGTCTCTCTCTCTCACTGTCCACTCTGCCTGTCAAAAAAAAAAAAAAAAAAAAAAAAGAGTCAGTGAACTCAAAAGGCTTCCATAGCCTTGGCAACTCATGACAAGAGCCTTGGGTGATTACTGATGCCATAAACAAGAGTGTTAATTTGTTAAGTCAACAACAGGAGTCACTGTGCACTTATTCCTCATGTAGGATCTCTGTCCTTAATGTGCTATACAGTGTGATTTAATGCTATAACTAGTACTCAAACAGTATTTTTCACTTTGAGTTTCTATGTGGGTGCAAACTGTTGAAATCTTTACTTAATATATACTAAACTGATCTTCTGTATATAAAGAGAATTGAAAATGAATCTTGATGTGAATGGAATGGGAGAGGGAGCGGGAGTTGGGAGGGTTGCGGGTGGGAGGGAAGTTATGGGGGGGGAAGCCATTGTAATCCATAAATTGTACTTTGAAAATTTATATTTACTAAATAAAAGTTTAAAAAAATGAAAGTAAATTAATATATATTATTTTTTAAATGTGTGGGAACAATTGGAAACATTCAGAAAAAAAAAGTAACTCCAGATGGATCAAAAATTTAAACATAAAAATGAAATAATATAAATATAGTAATAATATAAATATAATATAATAAATATATATTATATTGTTATATATTATTATATAAATATAATAATATAAATATAGTAGTAACATGAGAATTTTTAAAATTTCAGGGTGAGGTCAGTTTTTTGAAGAATGATCCTTGGGGTCAGCACTACGATGCCAACCTGCAGTGTTGGCATCCCATATGGGTGCTGGTTTCAGTCCTGGCTGTTCCACTTCCAGTCCATCTCTCTGATAATGTTCCTGGTAAGGCAGCGAAAGATGGCCTGTGGGGAGCAACTGAGACTAGACTAAGTTATTGGAATTAAGACTTATTCTATGCATCTGCTCTCCCACAATATGGCGCTGAGAGAGAAAGACCAAACAACCTCTACGCAGCTGCCTCATCAGTTTGATAAGCTGCAGGAGCTGATCCTGCTCCTGATTGGAGGAGAGCAGCATGCTCAGCGTGTGGGCAGCAGAGTTGGGATTGGTGGAAGAGGACTATAAAGGAGGGGAGAGACAACGTGCAACAGGAACATCTGAAGGAACACCTGAGGAACATCTGAGCAGCCCCCGAGAGAGCAGGCCGGTGGTGTGCCATTCCTCCGCGGAAGCGGGGAAAGCGGCGGGGGGTGCCGCCTCCTCCACGGAGGTGGAGGGGCCAGCAGCCAACCCGGGACAGTGTCGTTCCTCCGCGAGTGAGGGACTGGCAGCTAACCTGGGAAGAGCCGGGCAGACAAAAGAACAGCGCAGGGTCCAGTGTCGTTCCTCCGCGAATGGGGGAGCGACAATGGCCCACATGCTTGGCTCCTGCACCCACATGGGAGACCCAGAAGAAGCTCCTGGCTTTGGCCTGGCCCAGCCCCAGCCTTTGAAGCCGTTTGGAGAGTGAACCAGCAGATGGAAAATCTTGATCGCTTGTTCTCTCTCTCTCTCCTCTCTGTATCTCTACTTTTTAAACCAATCAATCAATCTTTAAAAAGAATGATTCTCAAACCTAGAAACCACAAAAAATAGTAAGCTATATAGAAATTTTTAAAAAATAATTATGCATGGGAAAAATAACACAAAGTAAGAATTTTTTTCATAATATAAGGAGAAAAATTCTTACAATTCTTATTATTGATAAAAGATTAACTTCCTTAATAGTTTAAAAGCTCCTAAAATAAAACAGAAAAACACTAACAATCAATAGAAAAAGGGCCAAGACAGTAGTCTATAGTTCATAGACTATTATATTGAAGTAGATCTAAGAAAATCAATACAATCTCATTCATAATAAGAAACATTCCAACTAAAATCAAAGAGACTTATTTTTCTGGAATGGCAAAGATCAGTCTGATAATGCTGTTAAAAAGTTTGTAGGCCAATATTTTCATATTTGCTGATGTATAAATTGCTACATCTTCTGTCATGGCTGCCATGTTGCCCAGATCCAGGACTGCAATTTACATAGACTTCAGAGTGAATGTTAGCCACTTAAAGTTGGGTGACATAGTGGCCCTGACCTCTATGGAGGATTATTCGGCAAAATCTTTCAAAATAAAAGTTCACATACAATTTGATTCATTAACTTTGCTTCCCAGAATGTTTCCTACATGGGTAACATATATACATACATATATATTACACACATGTGTATATATATATATGTGCAAAGAAATGCATGTTAGCACTGTTGTACTTGCAACAGTATTTGTTATAGAAACAACTATCCATAGTATATCCTCCCATCATAGGAGGCATTTCTATAGGTCCTGTAATGGAAGGATCTCCATGAAACATCATTAAGTGGCAAAAACCAAGTGATCTAAGAAGAATGTGCATGGAAGGGAGGGAGGGAGGGAGGGAGGGAGGGAGGGAGGGAGGGAGGGAGGGAAGGAAGGAAGGAAGGAAGGAAGGAAGGAAGGAAGGAAGGAAGGAAGGAAGAAAGGAAGGAAGGAGGAAGCTGGCATTGTAGCATACAGCATAGAGGGTAAAGCCAATACCTGCAATGCTGGCATCCCATATAGGTGCCAGTTAGAGTCCTGACTGCTCCACTTCCAACCAGCTCCCTGCTAATGTGCCTGAGAAGGTAATGAAAAATGGCCAAAGTGCTTGGGCTTCTGTACCCACATGGGAGATGCAGAAGAAGCTTCAGGCTCCTGGCTTCAGCCCAGTATTGCAGCCATTTGGGGAGTGAATCAATGGATGGAAGACCTCTCTCTCTCTCTCTCTCTCTCCCTCTCTCTCTCTCTCTCTCCCTCTCTCTCCCTCTCTCTCCCTCTCTCTCTTCTCTCTCCCTCTTGCCTCTGCTTCTCTGTAACTCTCTGCCTTTCAAATAAATAAATAAATCTTTAAAAAATAAATAAAAAGACTGCCGGCGCCGCGGCTCACTAGGCTAATACTCCACCTGCGGCGCCGGCACAGCGGGTTCTAGTCCCGGTCGGGGCGCCGGATTCTGTCCCGGTTGCCCCTCTTCCAGGCCAGCTCTCTGCTGTGGCCAGGGAGTGCAGTGGAGGATGGCCCAAGTGCTTGGGCCCTGCACCCCATGGGAGACCAGGAGAAGCACCTGGCTCCTGCCATCGGATCAGCGTGTTGCGCCGGCTGAGGCAGCCATTGGAGGGTGAACCAACGGCAAAGGAAGACCTTTCTCTCTGTCTCTCTCTCTCTCTCACTGTCCATTCTGCCTGTCAAAAAAAAAAAAAAAACTTAAAAAAATAAATAAAAAGGACATTTGTATGTGTCTATATATAGTGAATATACTATAGTGACTATAATATATATATATATATATATATAGAGAGAGAGAGAGAGAGAGAGAGAGAAGTTTATACAAGAAACTTTTGAGGTTTATGTAAGAATCCATAACCACCAGGACAAAAATTGCATGGCTATATTTTATTGTATATCTTTTTTTACCTTTTAAGCTTTAGATCTTCATCTTAAAATGATAAAAATGCAGCCCATAGTATTGAATAAAATAAACAATAATAAAAAGTTTAACATTTGTTTTTCATCATCTCTAGTTAAAATATCTAAGGTTTAAAAATAACATGAGCAAAAAGTTTGTAAATATGGATTGATCTTTAGTGAAAACTCTATGGTTATCAAACTCACATCTAAAGCCATGTGTGCTTCGTTTTTATTTATTTATTTATATTTATTTGACAGATAGAGTTAGACAGTGAGAGAGAGAGACAGAGAGAAAGGTCTTCCCTCCATTGGTTTGCCCCCCAAATGGCCACTACGGCTGGAGCTACGCTGATCTGAAGCCAGGATCCAGGTGCTTCCTCCCGGTCTCCCATGTGGGTGCAGGGGCCCAAGCACTTGGGCCATCCTCCACTGCCTTCCCGGGCCACAGCAGAGAACTGGACTGGAAGAGGAGCAACCGGGACTAGAACCCGTTGCCAATATGGGATGCTGGTGCCACAGGCGGAGGATTAACCAAGTGAGCCACGGTGCTGGCCCAGTCTAAAGGTGTAAGAACTACACCTGCTCTGCGTGCTAATACTGATGGTTTTAATAGCTTTAGGTTAATCTGTGAAGAAATTAATACCCCATGCATTCAAGTATTTGTGTACTTTGGAACCTTCTATCCCAAATTTGCCAAACTTCTACTTCAGACAGCAACTCTATTAACAATACAGATAATATGACATAAAACTTACTCAGTATTTGTAAAGACTTGCTACTCATGTTACAAACAGCCTCTGCAAATGGAGCCACCAGCTTGTTTGAGTTCTCAGAATCACACATCATAGGACATTCTGGGAGCAGAAGGAAAATTAACAAAGCTTCTTGGTGCGGAGAATGACATGGAAGAGCTTTGAGCAGATTATCCTCAAGACTCGTCTGTATCTGTGGTGGGAAAAGGATCCAGAAAAAAGCCCACACAGGGCAGATTCTGAGAAACAAGCTCTGTGACCAGGGTTCCAGCTGACAGGTTCCAGGGGGAATAATCATTTAGTCTTTCTGAAACCTACTGGTGAAATGCCATCCCTCCTTACATCCACATGTCCCCGAGGTGGTATGTGAGAGCCATCCGCCCCATTTTATGTCAGGGTGTATAAAAGAAATGAAGTCAAACCTCATGGACATGGACATATTGAGTGAACTGGAAGTCTTGTTTTTTGTTTTCCTTGCAAACTGTTGAACTGTTTACTTAGTATAGAGTTGGTCTTCTGTGTATTAAGTTAATTGAAAATGGATCTTAGTGGAGAATGAGACTGTGAATGGGAGAGGGAGGAGTAGGAGAGTTGGTTGGAGGGTGGGTATGGTGGGAAGAATCATTACATTCCTAAAGTTGTACTTATGAAATGCATGAAGTCTGGATTACTTAAATAAAAGGTTTCTTTGGGGGAAAAACTAAATAATAATAAAAAAAAACATAACACAAAGCCCTAATTTAGAGCAATACTGTATACATATCATGCTAGTAAAAGGGAACTTCAAAAAGTTCGTGGAAAATGAAATTAAAAGATAAATTGGGACAAGGATTTAGTATAGTGGTTAAGATGCCTACATCTCACATCAGACTGCCTGTGTTCTGTACTCAGCTCCAGCTCCTGATGCCATCTTCATGCTAACACAGACCCTGGAGCCAGTGAAAAGATGGCCACGTAGTTGTGTTACTGCCCCCTATGTGGGAGACACAGTGTCTAGAATACAGAAACTTAATAATGAACACTAGATCCCTCGTCCAGCCTGAATAAAATTAAACTATAATCATAGTCCTTCCTGTAAAGAAATTCTGCTATTTTATTTCTCAAGTATTAGCTATTTACCAAAGAAGAAATCCAATTCTCTTCTGTTAACTTCTTGAAGGTGTCTCTTGCCTTCTGTAAGTCCACATCCATGGAAATGCCTTCTCCTGTTCCCCTTTGACTACAAAAAAACGCCAAAAAAAAAAAAAATACAAACAGAACGTTAATTCCAAATTTCATGCATTACTTGCTTTATTTTATTGCATAAAATACAGACTTTTTTTCAAAGCTTGCTCTTTTCAAAATAATGAACTTACTTGACACAATAAAACATAAATTATATATCTTCCTTGTTAAGAGAATAGGTAACAATTTATTATCTCAATATTGGTTACATCAAGTTTGGACTGAAATATTTTTACAATTGTATATACCAAGTCTGAAAAGTGATGCCATATACACCTACACTCAGCTTGTACACTAAGAATTGCAACTACCTACGATCCACATCCATTTACTTACATTTATCTAACTGCAGTTCCAGTGGTTTCATTAGAATGATTTTAATGTTTCAGGAGACCTTGAGTGTTCATTACAGGAACTTCCTGAAAGATCCTAACTTTTCAATGGATGCAGCAACAGAGAGTTTGGGCCCTAAGATTCTTTGAATCCCATACCTTAGAGTACTTACCTTGCTGTTTCCACCAATTCTGGATTGCTGAATATTTACCAAAAACCAGTCAAGCTCCCAGTCATTGCTTCCCACACCGAAAGACCATCCAGGTATGGTGTCCTCACTGGCTGTCTTATTAACAAGTTGTTTGACATTTAACAAGTCTAACAATGTTTAAAATAATAGACCACCAAGAAATAGTACCAGGGCTAAAATATTTGTGCAAGTAGTAAGCAAAGATTTGGAAGTTTCTCCTTAAAATATGTTCTCCTTTATAGCCTTTGACACCTTAAGAATTCCTAACTCCTGAGAAACATGTGTGGATAATTTGCTGAGTTTGAAAGGCAATTTTTTAAAAAATGTTTATTTGAAAGGTAGTTACAAGCCGGCGCCGCGGCTCACTAGGCTAATCCTTCGCCTTGCGGCGCCGGCACACCAGGTTCTAGTCCCGGTCGGGGCCCCGGATTCTGTCCCGGTTGCCCCCCTTCCAGGCTGGCTCTCTGCTGTGGCCAGGGAGTGCAGTGGAGGATGGCCCAAGTGCTTGGGCCCTGCACCCCATGGGAGACCAGGAGAAGCACCTGGCTCCTGCCTTCAGATCAGCGCTGGCCACGGCGGCCATTGGAGGGTGAACCAACGGCAAAGGATAGACCTTTTTCTCTGTCTCTCTCTCACTGTCCACTCTGCCTGTCAAAAAAATAAAATAAATAAAAAATAAAGGTAGAGTTACAGAGATAGAGAACTTTCACCTGCTGGTTCACTCTCCAAATGGCCAGAGCCAGGAACCAGAAACTCCATCCCCATCTCCCACATGGGTGGCAGGGGCCCGGGCACTTGGGGCATCTTTGCTGCTTTCTCAGACCCATTAGCAGAGAGCTGGATCTGAAATGGAGCACCGGTGGGCAGGTGGCTTAACCTGCTGCCACACAAAGATAATATTTTTAAAGGTATACAGGGTTCTCTGAGGTTGCAGTGGGGAAGAAATAGAATCCTTTGACTGAGACAGTCTTTCCCCTCCAGTATGGAAGGGTAGCAAAGAGAAGAAGGCAAAGGGAGAGAAAGATGACAGAATTAGAAGAGGGAGGTGGTCCTGGTTTTGAAACCAGAACATCCCCTTAATTGGGTTCTCCTTACCACCCCAGAGAGCAAAAGCCTCAAACTGTGTTTCCCCCAACCTTCCTCTCTGCACTACACTTGAACAGGTTTCAGCCTTTATAAACGTCTGATCACATCATTTACAGCTCCTATTGTCCAGAAGAGCTGGTTCAAAGACTTAATTGCTCATGCACAGAGGGACTCCAGCGCACACAGAAGAAAAGACCTCACCTGCGGAACCAAAGAGAGGCAAGCAGGACCGGAACTTGGATGCACCAGAGCCCTTTTTGAGCCAGCAGTCCCATGAACAAGAAAATCCTGGGCCGGAGCCTATCTTACTAAACTTCACCATAAATGGCCTGATTCCAAGCCCCACCCCAATCAAAGCCTGTCTCGCCAGTTTTTCCTATTGAATCCATAAAAGTTTACTCCAGACCACTCTTTGGGGAGGCAGATTTGAGTCACAACACCTGTCTCCTTTTTATTTGAGTCACAACACCTGTCTCCTTTTTGCTGGCCGGCAAAGACCAGTGTTACAGACTGGTGTGTGTGGGCATTGGGCAGCAGATCTACCTCTTTCAGTAACATTCTCTTGCTTTTGGCGGGATAAGTAAAGATAAATAGGGATGCCTTTTGGATTCCAGCAGCATGCTTCTTCAGGAAGTGATAGCAAGAAGCCCTAAGAGTTTCCTGAGCTTTTCTGGCGAAACTATTAGATCCCTTGGGGTCGGCACTGTGGTGCAGCGGGTTAACGCCCTGGCCTGAAGCGCTGGCATCTCATATGAGTGCTGGTTCGAGACCCAGCTGCTCCACTTCCGATCCAGCTCTCTGCTATGGCCTGGGATAGCAATAGGAGATGGCCCAAGTCCTTGGGCCCCTGCACCCACGTGGGAAACCCGGAGGAGGCTCCTGGCTCTTGGCTTCGGATAAGCACAGCTCCAGCTGTTGTAGCCATTTGGGGAGTGAAGCAGCAGATGAAAGACCTCTCTCTCTCTCTCTCTCTACCTCTCCTTCTCTCTCTATGTAACTCTGACTTTCAAATAATAAAAATAAATCTTTAAAAAAAAAAAACTGTTAGGCCCCAACAGTTCGGTGAGGCCCCAAGCTGACCTCGAACGCACCCAGGCTGGGAACCAGTAACACTACTGGAGGTTGTGTACATGCAAGAGATGGCAGCAAGGGTTAAATGAGTACCACCTAGCGGCCAGGAGGGAGTCAAACATGTAGAACCTTCTGATGCCAAGTTAACAGCAGAAAAATCAGAATTTCCTCTGCAGCAATGAGTTCAAGGTAGAATAAGATCTATTTCCCTATTGATTTCACAGAGTCGGAATGGTAAGTAAAGTGCACCATTGGCGTGGAAGTGCTAAAGCAATGTGGGATTAAGCTAATCAATTGTCGACACAAAGATCCTGAAACAACATCATTCGGTGGCCAGCCTTGCAGTCCAGTGGGTTAAGCTGCCTTTCTGACACTGGCATCCCACAGAAACTAGTTTGAGTCCTGGCTGCTTCATTTCCCCAGCAACTTCCCACCCTGCTCCCTGCTAAAGCGCCTGGGAAAGCAGTGGAAGGTGGCCCGGGTACTTGGGCCCCTGTCACCCATGTTGGAGACCGAATGGTGTTCCAGTCTTCTGGATTTGGGCTGGTCCACCCTCTGCCACGATAGGAGTAAACCAGTGGATGGGAGATCTCTCTTTCTCTCTCTCCCTCTCTCCCTGCAATGCTACCTTTCAAATAAATAATATCTTTTTAAAAAATCATTTGGTCCAATCAGATAATAGAAGAAGGAAGTGCAGAGGAAGTAAACAATGTTTATTAGTAATCATAACTTATAGTTGTCTTGTAGCAAATCACTTCATAAAATGGAGGAATTCTATGACAATTCTCCAGGCTGGACTTTTTGTATTATAGGTTACAAAATGCACAAATGAAAGTGACTAATTAGAAACATATTTTAAATATTCCCAGTGTTTTAAACAAATACAGTTTCATACAAGTATTACCTTTTCTTTAAAAAACTTGCTGTTAGACAAGCAGGAGATGAAAATATCATCCTAATTTCCCTGAAAAAGAAATAACAAGGGTTAAGTTACAACATTCTACAAAGCATGTCTTCTTTTATCATATCTGAATAAATACTGTGAAAATGTTATTAATAAAAAAATTAATCTCTTAAAGGTCTCCCAAATTCTGAATAGATTAAAACTCTTTATAAATAAAATCCATCCTATGGCGATTAAAAGTCATGAAACTCCATAGAGTAATCTATGAAGATACGAAAACAGTGTATCTTAGTCTTTGTGAGCCTTTTGGATTCCCTCCTGCATCTTTCCTCACCTACGATGGTACCTGGGCTCTCATATGCACTCAGCATATCTCTTATTTATATTAAATAAAAGGTGCATGGCTAGATCCATCAATGACTTACTCAACCTAAGAGATAACAGGAGAGAATCATGGTTGAAATGCAAAGGCCTTCATCACAACGCATATCCTGTTTCTTATGTCTAGGATAAAATGACCAAGGCTTCAGAAACAGGTAAGAGTGGTTTATAATTTAACAGACAGAGCCACCTTTTAGCCACTTCTTGTTCACTACTTCTTCTTTTCACTGCTATCCATTTTTCCATCAGGGACTGGTTAATTTGGCTTATTTCTGGAAGGGTTTTCCTGGGAACTCTTGTGGAACCAGCATCCTTCAAGGAAGAAAAAAAAAAAAACAGGATTATGACCACAAAACACACACACACACACACACACACACACATACGTGCTGAATAAGAGATGATAAGGTAAAACATTTGGCACTGCCCACCCAGGCAGGTGTTTGGTAGAAGAAGCTTAGCATCAGAATGGCTTGGCTGTTGCACTTCCTAGCCTGGGTTATGCTGCTTAGTCTGAATTTTATCACTTTTTTAAAAAAATAGAATAATACAAAATAATTGAAAACAGGAACTCAAACAGATCATTGTTAATCAATATTCATTACAGGTGCTGGTGCTGTGGTGTGGAGGGTAAAGCCGCCTGCAGTGCCGGCATCCCATATGGGTGCTGGTTCGAGTCCTGGCTGCTCCACTTCTGATCCAGCTCTCTGTTGCAGCCTGGGAAAGCAGTAGATGGTCCAAGTCCTTGGGCCCCTGCACCCACATGGGAGATCTTGAAGAAGCTCCTGGCTATTGGCTTCAGATCAGCTCAGCTCTGGCCACTGTGGCCATTTGGAGAGTGAACCAGTGGCTAGAAGATCTCTTTCCACCCCTCCATCTCTGTAACTCTTTCAAATAAGTAAATCTTTTTAAAAATTCATTACACCATTATTCACAACAACAACAACAAGATGGAAACAGAGGTGAACATTTGGTGCAGTGGGGCACCTGCACTCCATACTGGAATGCCTGGTTTGAGTCCCAGCTCCACGTCTAATTCTAGCTTCCTGCTAATGCAGACCCTGGAAGGAAGTAGATGATGGCTTAAGTACTTGGGTCCCTGCCACCCACCTGGGAGACCCAGATCGAGTTCCTAGTTCCCGGCCCAGCCCCAAATATTGCAGGCATTTGAGGAGTGAACCAGAGAATGAAAAATCTCTCTCTGTCTCTCTCTCCCTCTATTTCATCTCCCTGCCCTTCAAAACATATAAATAAATAAATATTTTTAAAAGATGTAAACAACACAAATGTCCATTAACAGACAAATGGATAAACAAATGTGTAAATACCTACAATGGAATATTATTGAGCCTTAAGAGTGAAATTCTGATACATGCTTCAGTGTGGATGAACTTTGGAAACATGCTGAGTTCAATAAGCCAGATACAATATTAACAAATATTATATGATTACACTTATATGAATTCTCTAGAATAGACAAACTCCTAGAGACAGAAAGTAGATTTGAGATTATCTAGGGTTGGGGGAGGGAATGAGGAGTTGTCATTTAATAGTTAAAACATTTGCTTGGGGTGATCAGAATTTTGGACATGGACAGTGAATGTAATTAATGCCAATGAACTACATACTTGAAAACCTCTAAAATGGCAAATTTTACATGCTATGTATTTCATCACAAAAATAAATTGAATAACAATACCAATCTCTCTGGCCTTCTAATAGATTAAATCAAACTTTCATGGCATCAGAATCACCTGGCAGGTGATGCTGGTTGGGGGCGGGGGTGTTAAAACAGCTTTCTAGCTGCAATGTCACAGGTGGGTCAGGGCAGAACTCAAGAACTACAGCTAGACCCTGGGAGGCAGCAGTGAAGGATCAAAATAATTGGGTCCATGTCTCCCATATGGGAGACAGTGGATTGTTCCCAGCTCCTGACTTCAACTCTGGTCCAGCCTTGGCCATTTTAGGCACTGGAGGAATGAACACAAATAGGAACCAACTCTAATTCTCTCTGGTAAAAAAAAAAAAAAAGAAATTAAAAAAATTTTTCTTAAATTTGCACCTCACCAATTCTCCAGTGATGAAGATGCTCCCCATTTGGGGACCACACTTGGAGGCCTCCCACCATTCACCCACCTCAAGGGTGCTCTTCCCTTTTTCAGGGGGACAATGATTTCTGCTCTAAGCCCTCAGTTCTGCACCAGATTCTGCTTCCTCTCTCCTGTCAGGGACATCGCTTCTGCCATTATTCACTCTTGCTCAGACACCAGTTTCTACTCTTCCTAATTCTCTACTCTCTTTCCCATCCCAGCTTCTTAGGGTTGTCCCGGGCATAGTTTCTGCTTGCTCCCCTCCTACTGTGTCCAGCCTGTTCCACTCAGGCTCCTCTCCTCTCTCCGCTGAAGCAACACAAGCTTCCCATGGCAAAAACCAACATCCCGTGCTACCCTCACTTGACCTCTCAACTGTGTTCAAGGGGAACTAAACTTTCCCCCCTCTATCAGGCCTAGCAAGCCTTTTTCCTGCCAAGGGCCATGTGGATGTTGATAACCTCCTTCATGGGCCACACAAAATTATCAACTCAAAAATCGACCTGCTACAGATGTATTGACGTTTGAGTCCAGCCTGTGGTTGCCATGGCAGGGCCAGATCAAATGATTCCACAGCCCTCATAGGGCCTGTGGGCTGGACAGTCCGTCCCCACCAGTTTCCTCTCTTGGCCTGATGAGACACCCTCTCCTGGGTTCCCGTCACCTCAGAACCTGCTCCCTTTCTGGCTCCTCCTCCACCATCTGTCCTCTCATGGAGAAATCTGGTGGGGCTCGATTCTGTCCCCCTCTTCTCATTTCTACTTTAAGTACCATGCACAGTCGGATACCAACCACGTGTATCTCCTACTGCCAACACCTCCCCTATGCTGCAGATCCGGACCTTTACCTAAGCCTTTGGGTCTTCTGGCCCACATCCCACACAGCTGGCCCCATCCTCCACAACCGGCTCATCCCGCACAACTCTCTGCTTCCTGCTCCGCCGGCCACCTTTCTGTTCCACCTGCCAAGCCTATCCTTGCCCCAGGGCCTTTCCCTGCTCCGTTCCCCCTACTTTGAAGGCTCTTTCTCTGGATCTAAGCAGGGCTAAGATCTCTGTTCAGACCTCACAGTCTCCCTGAGGCCTCTGCAGACAGATATTTTCAGAGAAGCCCATCTCTTTCTCTGGATCTAAGCATGGCTAAGATCTCTGTTCAGACCTCGCAGTGTCTCTGAGGCCTCTGCAGACAGATATTTTTAGAGAAGCCCATCTCATCCAACTCAAATGGTACATTACGTTTTCTTCCAAGTACTCGTCACTCTCTAATGCATTCTTATTTGTTGTACACTCATGTGTTCATTTCCTGGTACTTCCTGTAAAGTACAAAAGCTATGAACAAGGGCAACCTTGCCTGTATTATTTACTCTTGTCCCAAGAGCCAAGAGCAGAGCTTGATCCCAGAAAGGCACTCAATGTTTGTTGACTGACTGACTGATAGCTGTTAAAAGAACAACCCGGGCATCATCTCTTAACTGTCCCCAGTAGCACAGACCCTTTTGCTTCTGGTCATTTTCCGTCCCAAGGAATACAGAACATCTATATAGAGATCAAATTTGAAACAGCCCCAGTAATACAAAAGCATACACTTTAGGAAAATAACTACATCTGTGTGTGTGTGTGTGTGCGTGCGTGTATGTGCTTTAAATCTCCACACAAACATTTCTCAGAAATATAACAGCAAAATCCTCTCTATTCAGAATCAGGAAGACACAAACGTGTGGTAGGTAACAGAGTAGGCTTTGTAGATGTACTCCCTGGATTTTAATCTAGCTCACCGCTCATGAATACAGCAACTTTGGATAAGCTCACCTCAGTTTTTCAAAGGAAAAAATAACATCAACTGGAGTTGACATACGCATTCAACATGTTGATCGTTTTGAAATACTTGACAGGGGCCTGATATGTGGTTAATACCACTCATGTTAATAATTAATGTTATTACTGGCATCAATATTACTTGCTAAAAAAAAAAATGCTGGGGGCCGGCGCCATGGCTCAATAGGCTAATCCTCCATCTGCGGCGCCGGCACACCGGGTTCTAGTCCCAGTCGCGGCGCCGGATTCTGTCCCGGTTGCTCCTCTTCCAGTCCAGCTCTCTGCTGTGGCCAGAGAGGGCAGTGGAGGATGGCCCAAGTACTTGGGCCCTGCACCCGCATGGGAGACCAGGAGGCAGCACCTGGCTCCTGGCTTTGGATCAGCGCGGTGCGCCGGCCGCAGCGCGCCAGCCGCAGTGGCCATTGAGGGGCGAACCAACAGAAAAGGAAGACCTTTCTCTCTCTCTCTCTCTCTCTCTCTCTCTCACCATCCACTCTGCCTGTCAAAAAAAAAAAAAAATTTTTTTTAAATGCTGGGGCCTGCACTGTGGTGGAGCAGGTAAAGCTGCTGCCTACAGTGTCGGCATCCCATGTGGCACCCGTTTGGGACCCGGTTGCTCCACTTCTGATCCAGCTCTCTACTATAGCCTAGGAAAGCAGTTTAAAATGGCCCAAGTCCTTGGGCCCCTGCACCAACGTAGGAGACCCAGAAGAAGCTCCTGGCTCCTGGCTTCGGATCAGCCCAGCTCCGGCCTTTGCGGCCATCTGGGGAGTAAACCACCAAATGGAAGACCTCTCTCTCTCCTCCCTCTCTCTCTCTCTCTGCTTGTCTCTTTATAACTCTGCTCTTCAAATAAATAAATAAATCTTCTAAAAATTTTTTAAAAAATAAAAAAGATTTATAAATGCTAGTACAAAACCAATGACGTTGCGTTTGAGTTCACATCTATTAAGAAGTTTGACAAATGAAGAAGTGAAAATTGCTTAACATATTTTCAAAAGCATTGTAACAGAGGACTTCATTATTTTTAGTAAGAAATCTTACTATATGGATAAGACAATGTTTGAAATAACACTCTGAAATCTACAGAAAAATATAATTTTTAAAAGCAACACAGTGTAATAGGTACCTGAGAAGTTGTCACAAAGTTGGCATAGGTTCCAGCAAAAATGTGTTTGACTTGAACATCCACCAGGTCTAAAAGGAAGTCATAAATCCATGCATAGAGTTTTTAAAAGTAAGAAATAAATGTGATACATTAGCAAGCCAAATTTAGTTACTTATTGGCAATTTACAGTCTCCAAAATGAATTTTGACTATAAAAACCACAAAACAGTAAATTTCATCGATTACACATCATACATGTACTTAGTTTAAAGCTCAATTTTCCATGCACTTGCATGATGAAGCCAGCCTGACCTGCTTTAGAAGAGGTTGGCTTAAATATATAAAAGTACATTATTCGGGGGTGGATGTTTTGCCTAGCAGTTAAGACATTGATTAAGAGACCTGTGTCCCATATCAGAGTGCCTGTGTTCAAATCCCAGCTGCAGCTCCTTACTCAGCTCCCTGCTAATACAAACCGCAGGCATAGCAAGTGATGGCTAAAGTAACTGGGTTCCTGCCACACATGTTAAGAGACCTGGACTTAGTTCTCAGCTCTCAGCTTTGGGCTGGCCCATCCCAGGCCATTTTAGATATCTGGGGACTGAACTAGCAGGTGGAAGCTCCTTATCTATGTGTTTGTCTGCCTCTCAAATTAAAAAAAAAGTTTTAACTATATTATTCAGGTGCTTAAGTAACCATTTAGGACCTTCTTTTGTATTATCTCCATCTTTAGAAGTTATTACCAAATATACCAGGAATCACTGCATTAAAAAAAAAAAAAAAAAAAAACACAACACCTAAGTTGAAAAAAAGAAAAGAAAAGTACTTGAAGAACCATGGTTCTAGGGGCTCCTTTGAAAAGAAGTGGCAGAGGCCAGTGCTGTGGCATAGCAGGTAAAGCTGCCGCCTGCAGTGCCAGCATCCCATATGGGCACCGGTTCGAGTCCCGGCTGCTCCACTTCCGATACAGCTCTCTGCTATGGCCTGGGAAAGCAGTAGAAGATGGCTCAGTCCTTGGGCCCCTGCAGCCATGTGGGAGACTTGGAAGAAGCTCCTGGCTCCTGGCTTCGGATCGGCACAGCTCCAGTGTGGCAGCCCATTGGGGAGTGAACCAGTGGATGGAAGACCTCTCTCTCTCTCTCTCTCTCTCTCTCTCTCTGCCTCTCCTTCTCTCTGTGTAACTCCAACTTTCAAATAAGTGAATCTTAAAAAAAAAAAAAAAGAAGAAGAAGAAAAGAAAGTGGCTTATGAGCAGGCTTTCAGCACAGTAGTTGGGGTGCTGCTCGGGACACCATGTCCCATCCTGAAGTTCCTGAGCTGAGTCCTGGCTTAACTTTCGATCCAGCTTTCTGCTGAGGTGCACCCTTGGAGGCAGTGGGGGAGGGGTCCAGTAGTGGGCCCCCTGCCACCCACATGGGAGACCCAAATTGAGTTCCAGGAGCTTGACTTCAACGTGGCCCAGCCCTAGCTATTGCAGGCATTTGAGGGAGTAGGCCAGTGGATAGAGGATCTCTCTTTACTTTTCCCATAAACAAACAATTTTTTAACAAAGAAAGGAAGTACATTAATATTTTCTCTCCAGTGACATCAATGAACACAAAATCTGAAGCAGTGGGACCACTCATACCATCAGCAGAAATCAGGCAGCTAACGCCAACGTCCTCTGGCAGGTCCTCTGGAGGAGTTGGATTGCTTCTGTCCCTTGCTCCACAACCAAAACATACCACCTGGCCAGTGGTGTAGACAAATGCAAGGGTGTGATAACTACAGGAGAGAGAGTGCATTATAATGAAGTCCAGAAGCCATACTCACGGGTTTTGAGAAGGATGATGTCCCTTAACATAAAATAAGAGATTCACACTTATAAAGAACCCAGTGCCCCATCACAGTGTCACTGTCAGAGGGCACCAAATGATGTAGCTGAACAGAGGGTGACTGAATATACACACTCAGTATCAATCTTAAAGACAGAGTATTATGAATGGGTCTTTACTACGTTTCTATCATTTGCATTTTAGATACCAGCATTTTTCTTAATGCATTTGGTAAACACTCAAAAGTGTCCCCATAATTAGGTTACACATACCTCCGAATACATAGGCAAATATATATCATCTTCTTCAGGCCTGAGATTAACTTTGTGTTATCCACTCAAGCAGGCAAGCACTACCATTTTTGTTATCAATCAACTCTTATTCTGCAGCACCTAGTAGGGTGGCCCTTACACAGTAGATGTCTAATAATTTCTCATAAAAATAAATGAAGTGTCTGATGAAGAAAACCTGAAAAATTGAACTGTATTTGAAATGAAAGAAGTAATTTTTCAGAAATAAAAATGCTCCATAAAAAGAGAAGCCATGGGGCAAGCATTTAGCCCAGTGGCTGAGATGCCCACATCACCCATTGAAGCGCCGGGTTCCATTCCCAGCTCCAGATCCTGGTCGCAGCTTCCTGCTGATACAGACCCTAGGAGACTGGTGATGGCTCAAGCAGCTGTGTATCTGCCATCCACATGAGAGTTCTGGATTGAATTTCTGGCTGCCGGCTTTAGCCTAGCCCAGCCATGGTCATTGCAGGGACATACAAGAGTGAACCAGCAAATGTGGGCTCTCTCTCTCTCTCTCTCTCTTTCTCTCTCTCCCCTACCCCACCATCCTCATATCCCTTTGCCTCTCTAATAATTTTTCAACACAAAAAAAAGAGAAGTCACATATTTTAGGGTTTCAAGGTTTGAATATTTTCTATATGAGTTGTTTCTAAGTAATAAAATACAACACTTTTTAACCATGCTACAAAAATAAATAAAGGCTATTACCTTCCACAATCAATCTGTGAGACCAGGCCATCAATTCCTTCCACCAGCTGTGGACCTCTCTTTTCAGCAGTGGAGCTGTGTCCCAGCTGTCCAAAACTATTGTCTCCAAATGTGAACACTTTCCCATCCTGTTTTGAAAAGAAATCAGATTAGTCCAGGTTCAAAAGGCCACTAAAATTTATAAACTAAGTTTCACATAATAGTTACTATTAGAGTTCTATGTGAAATATCAGCTCTGTATAAATAAGAGGATTCTTTATTATTTCTGATAGTGAATATAGTGTTAACATATAAAACATGAAAAATCACTAGCATTCCTTTAGAAACCAGGAACTCTAAGGATGTATTGTACAGCATGGTGACTATGGTTAGGCATAATGTGTTATATACTTAAAAACTGCCAAGAGTAAATCTTAAAGATTCTCACTACACATGAAAAGATAAAAGGTGAGGTGATACATGTTAATGAATTTGACTATGACAATCATTTCATAATATATATATAACTTTTATTTATCAATTATACCACAATAAAGCCAGGGGTGGGGGAAGAACCAAGCACTTACTAAACATTTGTTGAATGAATGGAGGTACAAATTAACTGAATCAAGGTAACACCAACATGTAAGTATAAAAGATGATTCTATGACTAAAAACAACTTTAACTGCCTCGTATCAACAGAGAACTACAAAATCCAAACAAGTGAGGTTTTCCTATTTTTTTTTTTTTTTTTTTTTGGACAGGCAGAGTGGATAGTGAGAGAGAGAGACAGAGAGAAAGGTCTTCCTTTTTGCCATTGGTTCACCCTCCAATGGCCGCCATGGCTGGCGCGCTGCGGCTGGCGCACTGCACTGATCCAAAGGCAGGAGCCAGCTGCTTATCCTGGTCTCCCATGGGGTGCAGGGCCCAAGCACTTGGGCCATCCTCCACTGCCTTCCCGGGCCACAGCAGAGAGCTGGCCTGGAAGAGGGGCAACCGGGAAAGAATCCGGTGCCCTGACCAGGACTAGAACCCAGTGTGCCGGCGCCGCTAGGTAGAGGATTAGCCTATTGAGCCATGGCGCCAGCCGGTTTTCCTAATTTAAAACATGCTTTTTTAAAACAAACAACAGGGGCCGGGTGCTATTAGCATAGTGGGTAAAGCCACCATCTGCAACGCCAGCATCCCACATGGGTGCCGGTTCCAGTGGCTCCACTTTCGATCCAACCCTCTGCTAATGTGCCTGGGAAAGCACTAGAAGATGGCCCAAGTGCCTTGGCCCCTGCAACCACATGGGAAACCAGAAGATCCTGGCTCCTGGCTTTAGATTGGCCTAGCTTCAGCTGCTGAGGCCATTTGAGAAGTGAACCAGCGGATGGAAGATCTCTCTCTCTCTCTCTCTCATTCTGTCTCTCCAACTCTGCCTTTCAAATAAATAAATAAATCTTTAAGAAAAAATAAATTTAAAAAATAAAATGAGTAAAAAACAGCAGAAGTCATTGGGGCATATATTTTTAAATCAAATATTTCAACTACACAAAGAGTTCTCAAGTCTAGTTTTTTAGATTCATTCTTTTTTTAAAAAAAGATTGATTTATTTACTTGAAAGTCAGAGTTATACAGAGAGAGAAGGAGAGGCAGAGAGAGAGAGAGAGAGAGAGAGGTCTTTCCTCCGCTGGTTCACTCCCCAGATGGCAACAATGGCCGGAGCTACACTGATTCGAAGCCAAGAGCCAGGAGCTTCCTTTGGGTTTTCCCATGAGGGTGCAGGGGCCCAAGGACTTGGGCCATCTTCTACTGCTTTCCCAGGCCATAGCAGAGAGCTGGATCTGAAGTGGAACAACTGGGACTTAAACTGTCGCTCATATGGGATGCCAGCACTGCAGGAGGCAGCTTTACCCACTACGCCACAGTGCCAGCCCCCTTGAGTCTATTCTTTATGGCTATAGAAAGAGCCCATCCCATTGGAAAAGGTTGCATGGCCAGGATAAAAAGGGCAAGAATACATTAGGACACTGGGTCATATTCTGCCAAGCAAGAAATGGAAGGAAATATGTTCTAGTCTATAAAGTAGGTTATCAAAGGATTGCAAAAATTACTTTGCTGCTTCTATGATCAATTTTATCCATAGAACTGCATTGTCCATGAGCAACTGCTAAAAGGATTAGCTCCTATATTCATCTAACTTAGAGGGTATCTGAAAATATTTCCAAAGCAGAAAGTAGCTTTGATCATACGACCTTGAAAACTCTCGTGATTTAAATTTGGTTCATGTTTCCTCTCCAGGTATTTATGTGTTAATGGGTACATCTACACACTGTTGCACATCTTATGTTGTGGTCTGAACGGTTGTGCCTACCCAAAATCCATTTGGAAACCCTAACCTTCAATGTGATGACATCTGCAGGTGATGTGTCAGGCAAATGATTAGGGCCTGAGGGCAGATCCTTCATGAATGGAATTCGTTCCCTTATAAAAGAGGCCCTAGAGAGACTCCTCACCCCTTCCACAAAATAAGGACACAACAAAAACACGGTGATTTACTAATCAGAAAGCTGGCCCTCATCAGACACTGAATCTGCTCACAACACGACCGGCGACATCACAGCCTCCACAACTGGGAGAAACACGTTTCTATGTTCACGAGCTTCTCGGTTTATGGTATTTTAACAGTCTAAATAGATGAAAATATCTTGGTTTGCACGCTAATCAATACAGGTACCTTGTTAACACTACTCTGGGATTTTAAAAAATACCAGCACATTAGGATTACCTGAGTGAGCACTGCTGTGTGCTCAGAACCACAGCTGATATAAATCACGCCCAGCTTCTCCAGGGCACCAATTGAACGAGGCTTGGGGCTTTGCACTGTTGAAAGAAAGCAGAATGCCTACAGTATAAGAAATGGATTCAGATTTCATGAGGTTTTACATTTTCATATTTTATTATCTGATATGTTAGCGTACTTTAAAAGTGAATGATTGGGGGCCTGCGCTGTGGTGCAGTGGGTTAAAAGCCCTGGCAGGCCCATATGGGCGCTGGTTCTAGTCCCAGCTGCTCCTCTTCTGATCCAGCTCTCTGTTGTGGCCTGGGATAGCAGTAGAAGATGGCCCAGGTCTTTGGGCCCCTTCACCCACGTGGGAGACCCAGAAGAAGCTCCTGGCTCCTGGCTTCGGATCGGCGCAGCTCCAGTGGTTGCAGCCATCTGGGGAATGAACCAGTGGATGGAAGACCTCTCTCTCTGTCTCTGCCTCTCTGTAACTCTGTCTTTCAAATAAATAAAATAAATCTTTAAAAAAAAAGTGAATGATTGAAGTATAAAACAGAGTGAAAACTCTGTTTTGGAAAAGACCAAAAATAAGTCGTCCTTTAGCTTCTATGTCTGCAAGCTCTTCTGGAATCTTCTGGAAAGTTGAGGCTATTGACCTAGAAAGCTAAGCCTCAAGACTCTTGTCCTCAATAATATCACTGTCATGTATTTATTTCTATCAGAAAGTAGGTGCTCTGAAAATATGTAACAATAAGCGAGATAACAAGAGAACCTACCCCTTGCTGAGAGGGCTCAATGAAATAAATGCTCCGTATGGCACAGGCACACAGTGGGTGCTAAATTCATGTTGGCTGACTGCAAAGAACTGAACAGAACAAGACGGTTTCTTCTGGAAGACTGCTTGGTGAGTCTTGCTTCCAGAGGAACCATGCCGAACAGTGTTGTTCCCAAGCTCTCCTGCACATTGGGATCGCCTGTGAGATCCCAGATAGCCGCAGATGCCTTCACACCCAGGCATTTTGATTTAAGCGATACAGAGCCCAGACTGGGCACTGGAGCTTTTAAAGGGCCCTATGGTAGACACACTAATGGCCTCCCACTTCCTAACTCTGGAGCCTATACTTATGCTAGGGAACATGGCAGAGGGGAGGTAAAGAGGCAGTTGGAATAACAACTGCTAGTCAGCCGACTTTAAAACAGGGAGATTAGCCTGGATTATCCAAGCTGTTCCAGGTAGTCACAAGGGTCCCTTAAATGAGGAAAACAGAGAAGGAAGGGTCAGACTAAGGTGATGGAATCGGCCATCGCTAGCTTTGAAGAAGGGCTATGAGTCAATGAATGGAGGCAGCTTCTAGAAGCTGGAAAGGCAAGAAAACGAATTCTCCTCTGGAGCTTCTGGAGAGGCAGGCAGTCCTGCTGACACCTTGACTTGAACCCAGGGAGACCCAGGTCAGACTTCTGGCCACCGAACTACCAGGTCATATTTAAGCCACTGAGTTTGGGATAATTCCTGCCAGCCAGAGGGAACTAACTTGGCACCCCAGATGATTCCAACGTGTCACAAAGCTTGGGAGACTGCTCTTTGCTGGGTTTGTGTACCAACTTCAAAGAAATAATGATTTACTGCGAGAGTGAGTCTAACTCCTTACCTGGGACGTTATCTCCGCTGAGGGCCAGCTGCCCTGCACTGTTGTTTCCCCAGCCAAATGAAGTCCCAGAGAGAGACAGGACGAAGCTGTGAGCCCCTCCTGCTGCCACCTGAGCCACGGGGATCCCCTGCAGGGATCTTACCCTCTGTGGACTGGCTTGGGAGGGGAACTCCTTCCCCAGGCCCAGCTGCCCTTGGCTGTTCTTCCCCCATGAAAACACTTGGCTATCTATAAAAATAAAGAGGAGAAGTTCAGAATTGCCCACACATGGGATACCACAAGTCAAAACTACTACCCCAACTCCAGAAATCTTTTTTTGTACAGCTATATTAAAGTACAATTGACAAATAAAAAATTACATATATGTAAGGTTTTCAATGTGAAGAGTGTATATATATATATGTAATACACACACATACATACATATGTAGTGAAATGAAATCCACAATCAGCTAATTAACAATCTATTACCTCTCACAGTTACCATTCTCTTGTGTGATGAAATACTTAAGCTCTACCCTCTTGGGAAATTTCGAGTACATGCAATGTTAACCATCGTGACGATGCAGTACTTTATGTCTCCAGACTTGTTCATCCTACAGCTGCAAGTTCGTATCCTCTGACCAACATCTCCCCACCATTCTACTATGTTTCTCTGAATTCAGCTTTCTTAGAGCCTGTATTTAAGCGAGACCATACAGTGTTTGTCTTTCTCTGTCTCACTTCTTTCACCTGCTCCTCCAGGTTCATCCATGTGGTCCAAAATGGCAGGATCTCCTTCACATTTATATTTGTATCTAATTCTACTGATCTTTAAAAAATAAAAGAGAAGGGGCCGGCACCATGGCACACTAGGTTAATCCTCCTTCTGAGGTGCCGGCATCCCATATGCTGATTGTTCCTCTTCCAGTCCAGCACTCTGCTGTGGCCTGGGAAAGCAGTAGAAGATGGCCCAAGTGCTTAGGCCCCTGCACCCACACGGGAGACCAGGAAGAAGCACCTGGCTCCTGGCTTCGGATCGGCATAGCTCTGGCTGTTGCCATTTGGGGAGTAAACCAACAGAAGGAAGCCCTTTCTCTCTCTCTCTCTCTCTCTCTCTCTCTCACTGTCTGTAACTCTACCTGTCAAATAAATAAGACCTTTAAAAAAATAAAAAATAAAAGAGAAATAAAGGCAGAAACGAGACCAGACAGGTGGGTAGGGCTATCCTCAAATAACATCCACTCTTGTCCCCCTAGCTGAGCATGACTTGTGCTTTTTTAACCACTCAAACCAAAAATCTGAAGTCAGCCTTGAGCCCTCTCTTTTAGACCTTCCACCCAGCAAGGCCCAAACCTCTACCTCCAAAATCTATCCAGAATCCAACCACTTCCTACCTCTCCACTGTTGCCATCTTAGCCAAGTCACCATCTTTTTCTCTCCTGGAAAATTACAAAAGCTGGTGCTGGTCTCCCAGACTCCACCTTTGCCCCAGCATTTCATTCTCCAAACATTAGGTGTAGGGACAATGCTGTGGTACAGCAGGTTAAGCCATATCCTGAGGTGCCCGCATCCCATATCAGAGCACTGGGTCAAGTCCCATGTGCTCTACTTCTGATCCAGCTCCCTGCTAATGCACCTGGGAAAGCAGCAGAAGATGGCCCAAGTGCTTGGGCACCTGCCACCCACGTGAAAGACTGAATGGAACTCCAAGTTACAAGTTTCAGCCTGGCCCAACCCTGGCCTTTGTGGCCATTTGGGGAGTAAACCAGAGGATAGATGAGCTCTTTCTCTCTGTCCCTCCTTCTCTGTCACTCTGCCTTTCAAATACATAAATATTTAAGAAGTTAAAAAAAATACAGTTCCCTCACTAGTGAAAGGACTGTTCTTACCATGGCTCCCACATCACCAGTACTCGTGGTCACCACTTCCTAGATCTCCTCTCCCCCAGCTCACAACTCTCCAGATCTTAGCTAACCCTGAAACAGTGCTGGGCATGCTCCTACCTCAAGGCCTTTGTGCCTGTATCATTCTTCCTTGCTTGCATCAGTTCTCTCTCCCTTCCTTCTGGTCTCTGTTCATGTGTTATCCTACATGAGCATCCCCACTACATGCTATGACTTATACACATGTACCTTATCTCACTAAACTTTCTCAACAGCTTGAAACAGGAATTTGGCACAGGGATTAAGATGCTGCTTGGGGATGCCTGCACCTCTTATCAGAGTGCCTGGGTTTGAATCCTTGCTCTGCTTCCAATTCCAGCTTTCTGCTGATGCACACCATGGGAGGCAACAGATGACACTCAAGTATTTGAGTCTGTGTCATCCACATGGGAAACCCAGATTGAGTTCTACGATCCTGCCTTCAGCCTGGCCCACGCCTAACTGTTGCAGGCATTTGGGGAATGAAATCAGTGTATGGAAGAATCTCTCTCTGTCTCTCTGCCTTTAAAACAAATAAAAAGGGAGGAAGGGAGGGAGGGAGGGAAGGAGGGAGAAGGAAAATTAAACCTGTAAGTTGGGGCTGGTGCTGTGGGGTAGTGGGTAAAGTCGCAGCCTGCAGTGCCAGCATCCCATATAGATGCCAGCTCAACCAGCTGCTCCACTTCCAATCTAGCTCTCTGCTATGGCCTAGGAAAGCAGTAGAAGATGGCCCAAGTCCTTGAGCCCCTGCACCTGTGTGGGAGACCTGGAAGCAGCTCCTGGCTTCTGGCTTCAGATCAGTGCAGCTCTGGCTATTGCGGCCAATTGGGGAGTGAACCAGCAGATGGAAGACTTTCTCTCTCTCTCTCTCTCTCTCTCTCTCTCTCTCTCTCTCTGCCTCTCCTTCTCTCTGTGTGTAACTATGACTTTCAAATAAATAGGTAAATTTTTAAAAATAAAATAAAATAAACTTGTAAGTTAGGCATCAATATCCTATAGAGAGAACAGTGAGACTCAGCAAAGTTCACTTGTCCACAAATAGCTAGAAGTGGTAGGTAAAAGGAATCATATGAGCTAGGATCTCAGCTAAGTATATACCTAAGGCATGAGAACCATGCTGTGATTCTCACAGTCTGTGTGGTATGGTGGTTAAGCACTTAGTATGGGACATAACCAGTAGCAGTTCAAATTCCACTTCTTACATTTCTTAGTGTATAAACCTTGGTCAAACTACTGAAAGCCTCTGAGCCCAAACTTGCTCATGTCTGAGACTAGTTTACAAACAGTAGCTAGCTTCTCTCTTTCTTAGGCAATTGTGTAAGACAACACAAGCAAAGTATTTAACACAGAAACCAGCATATAGAAGGCAAAGCTCCTTTGTCCATAGCTCCTTTGCACAACTGCAATGATGCATAAGACGTCACCTGAAGAATACACAAGTGTTACATGTCCCTTGAAGAGGACCAAGGTATGTCACCCCAAAATATGCCACGTTGTCATAGGATTATTGTGAGTGGAAGGCAACAGAGAATCAATGCGTGCAAGGAGAGTTCTCTGCCTTAACACCTGCCTTGAAAACGAGGCACATGCTTCCTTTTGTGGAGGTGTCCCCCTCTCTCATACCAAGGAGAGGAGAGTGACTTATCACTGGAGAGAACCAGCATCGAGATGAGTCTGCATAAACAGGCCTAAGACAACCTTCCCTTCCCTTCATTTCCAGTCACCTCCCACACAATTCTTCATCTCTTGAAGCCCAAATTCCCTCCCCTTGGTTAAAGTATGAGGCCCCAGTCTAACCACCGCTTTGAGCTCCACTTCTTTTCTGTGACCTTCTGTGCACAAAAATACTTGTAAAAATTCATTGCCTTTTTTCTGTTAATCTGTCTTCTGTCCACTTAATTTTCAAGCGCTATTCACTACATATAAGAGGGTACAGGACTGGGGCCAGTGCCGTGACATAGCAGGTAAAGCTGCTGCCTACAGCGCCAGCATCCCATATGGGTGCCAGTTCAAGTCCTGGCTACTCCACTTCTGATCCAGCTCCTTGCTAATGCACCTGGGAAAGCAGCAGAGGATGGCCCAAGTCCTTAGGCCCCTGCACCTATGGGAGATCTGGAAAAAGCTCCTGCCTCCTGGCTTTGGATCGGCCCAGTTCTGGCCACTGTGGCCATTTGGAGAGTGAACCAGCAGATGGAAAATCTTTCTTCCTTTCTCTCTCTCTCTCTCTCTCTTTCCCTCCCACCCTCCCTCCCTCTTTCCCTCTGTAACTCTTTCAAATAAATAAATAAATCTTTAAAAGTAAATAAATAAATAAGAGGGTACAGGGATTGTTGGTCCTCCCTGAAATCACTACTAAGAAATTTGAATGAAGGACAGACAAAGTATAGGGGAGTTTAGCAAAACAAATTGTAGGATTAAGATTTGAATAGCTAGACTCCACTTTCTTTGATCTAAATAAAAAAGACAAATAGTCCTTAATCAGTCGAGGGTTGCCAGTTGTAGACAGCATAAAGACAGCATAAAGGGTGAGGGCCTGGAAATAAAGCCACTACCAACTTCTAAGGGTGGAGGGCGGTCCCAGTGATGGCCCTTTATGGCTGTATGATATGCATTAGGCACTATTTAGAGTACAATAAGAACAAAGAAAGGTGAGGAAAAAATGAACAGCAACACATCTTATGAAAGTGGAAAGTTCAAATGCTCTAAGTGCATTAAAATGAAGCCCAACATATTCAAAAGCCATGGTTGTCGTTTATATGAAAGCCCTGAGGTCCAAAAGCTGTTCTTTACCTGCTGATAGTGCCAGGGAGTGGTAGTGTCCGCAGGCTACTTGTATTATTTTTATATCAGTCAGAGCTTTTATTTTCCTACAATAAAAAGGATACAAAAATCTATTAATCCTTATTCAGGATGAGTTGCCAAGTACAATAGATATTTAGAAGACTCCTGAGGTTGGGGCTGGGGGTGGGGGAGGGCAGGGGCACTCTGTCTAATGGGTAAAACAGCAGCATCCCATACCAGAGAACCTGGGCTTGATACCCAGCTCTGGCCCCTGACTCCAGCTTCCTGCTAGTGCAGACCATTGTAGGCAGCAAGGGATGGCTCAAGTACTTTGGTCCCTGCCACTCATGTGGGAGTCACAGACTGAGTTCCCAGCTCCTAGCTTTGACGTAGCCCAGTCCCAGCTATTATGGGCAGTTGGTGTGAAACAGCAAACAGGAATTCTCTCTCTCTGCCTCTCAAATAAATTAATTAAAAAATAAACGAAAGTATCCCAGATAACACATCTGGTGAAGCAATGGTAATGGGCATCTGATTTCCAAGAGACCCCCAAAGCAGGTAGGTGCTATCAACTGTGTTTTGGGGAGGCTCTGCTTTAGTTGGATACAAGAAGTCCAGTGAAGATTTCCTTCTGCATTTTCTGTAGCCAAATGTTTTCACTTTGACCCAAGCTTTCCAAACGGCCCACAGTTGCACTCCCACAGATAAGATTAAGCTATCAAGGCCACATGCTCACATTCCACTCTGTCCTCTTCCTTCCTGGGACTCCAATTAAGTAGCAACTGGAGTCTACTTTCCTGTGCCTTCTTTGCTCCCTGCTCCACAATCCTCAAGGTTAAGGACTGCACTTGTCATAGTCAGCTTTGTATCCTTCATCCTTCATGGTGCCTAGTACTCAAAAACAATGCACGAAGAAAGGCATGAATGGAAATACTTACGAAGGTATAAACGTGGTTTCCTTAAAGTCTCCTGTCCCCAGCTGCCCTTCAGAACCTGCTCCCCACGCGAAGACCCTGCCCTTGTGGCAGACAGCCAGGGAGTGCTCCTTTCCGCAGCTCACGAATTCCACTTGTAGAGTTTCCAAGGCCTGAATTTGTTCTTTGGGAAGAAAAACAAAATAGAACAGCCCCCAGGATGTCATTAATTGAGCAAAGAGTTGAAGACAGCACTTTCCTTCCAAAAGATGGGTCTCCCAGATTCTTTGTCCCCTCCCGTGAACTTTCAAATCAAGGCCTAATATCTATGCGAAGTATCAAGGAAATCAGCTCATATGTGTTACACTGTCTTTATGGGAACACAGTTGTGTTAGTGTAATTCATTGGACAGTCATTCAGCTGAGCTGACTCTACCACCTTGGCTTCCTATGTAAGCAAACTGAAACACAACTCAGAGAACATGGTCGCCGCAGATTGGGCAAATGAAACTTAAGCATAGCCAATCAGAAACCACCAACTAACCTCTAACTAGGGACTTTCCAGTCCAACCAATCAAATATTTTCAGCCTTTGCATTATCACACACTTCATACATGCTTTTCCCTTCCATCCTTTGTTTCTCCATCTGGTGGAGCCCAACGTGTGAGATGTCAACACCAGTTCATGAATTGCTGAGAGTGCCAATAAACTCTTTGGAAGTTTCAAGTACTGAAGTCTATCTTTTATCAGCTGCAATTTTAAAGGGCAGGCATCATGGAGAGAGGGGAACTCTAGGGACTATGACTCTTGGCCACATGCTTCTTTCTGATGGTGGAGGCAAAACTCAGGGTGGTGGTAGGGGGGCAGAGATGAGACGTCCTCCGCTATACTCTTCTGTCTCCCAAACGCTGAACATGGAGAGCAATGAATCCCTTGCTTAGGAGGAAGTCGGCAAGATGTCTGCCTCACAGGTGTGACAGGCAGATATTAGATCCTCCCACAAAGAAAAGTGCAAGCAGTAACATTTAAGGAGTTGGAATAACGCCTAGTGAGCTAGGCTGAAATCTCAGCTCCCGGCTTCATCCTAACCCAGCCCAGCCATTGCAGGCATTTGTGGAATGAGAGCTCTTTCTATGCCTCTCTGCCTAACCAACCAATAATTAATAAATAGATTTAACCAAAGATAGAATATTCTGGCAATACAAAGTGGAATTGCTATTAATTTGGAGGTTCCCATGCCCCTCCCCCGTTTCTCAAATGCTACTTCATCAGGGAAATCTTCCCTGATAGTTTCTCAGAGATGTTAGTTCCTTCAGCCTCTGCCCTCTACTGCCTGTTTCATTCTTCTTGATGCCACCTGATGTTACACTGTATATTTATTAATCTGCTTGTGTTCTCTTAAATACACCGTGAAGATGTTTTTCTTTACACAGCTGTGTTTCCAGTGCCAGAAACAGTGTCTGGGGGTGGGCAGTCGCTCAGATGCTTTTACTAAGCTCAGGAACCCAAGAACTTGAACCAACGCCTGCTGTTTCCCAGGGTATACATTAGCAAGAATCTGGAATTGGAAGTAGAACCAGCATTTGAACCTAGACATTCCAAAATGGGTGCCAGGCATGCTAAGCAGTGTCTTAACTGCTGCACCAAACACCCACCTCATCGAACTATTTACTTTTTATCTATGTGATGCCAAGAACTTTCCCAAAGATCCACACACTCCCAAAGGTAGAAACAGGCACAGCCTTCCTGCACAGCAGTTTGGAAGTATCATGTTGCTCGTCATCTCTACATGAAAGGGATGAGGACATACGGCACTTTGGCATGAGGATAATTTTGAGCTTTAGGCAATTGAGAATCAACAGGAGTAAGGGCTCTCTGTTCTTTTATAGCCCTAAAAACAGGTTTTAACATATCTTTGTTGAAGGTGCCTCCTCTCATGTACCAGGAAGAGCAACCCATATTGCTCTAGATGAAGTCAGCAGTAAGACGAGCTTCCATAAACAACCCTTACAGCACAACTGTTACCGTCACTAGGTTCTCCCGTGTGTTTCCTAGTCATCAATTATCCCTGGATTCCCAACCCACATTTTCTCTGTTAAATAGAGTATACATGCACCTGACCCTAAGCACTTCTTTGGGCTTCACTTATGGTCTGTGAATTCCCATGTGTGGAAATCCCCCCCACCACCCAAGAAAAGATTAATAAAGTAGTATGTTTTATTTACTGTTAATCTGTCTTTTGTTGGTTAATTTATAGTCCCTGGGCACTCTAAGAGAGTAGGTTCTTCCAAACACTTCTTGAAATTATTTTAAGTAAATTTTTTAAAAAGGTCAAATATTTACCTGCAGGAATGTAAGTCAGTCTTATTTATAAAAGTCCCTAATGAGTCATGACTTAATTTTCACAAGTGGAAAAACTGTGATGCTTGAGTTAAGTTGCTACCTTCATCCCAGATCACAGTGCCAGTTCAAGTCCTGGCTGCTCCATTTCCCATCCAGCTCCTGCTCATGTGCCTGGGAAAACAGCAGAGGTCACCCCAAACTCCCAGCCCACCTGGGAGACCAGGATGGAGCTTCAGGCTCTGGGTTTCCTTAGGGACATTTGGGGAGTGACCTAGTGAATGAATAGACCTCTCTCTGCCTCTCCCTCTGTCTGTCCTTGGAGAGGAGAGGGAGAGGGGAGGGGAGAGGGGAGGAGGGGAGGAAGAAAGGGGAGGAGGGGAGGAGGGAAGAGGAGGGGAGAGGGGAGGAGGGGAGGAAGAAAGGGGAGGAGGAGGGCGAGGAGGGGAGGGGAGCTCCTGGAGCCCGAAATGTTAATTCAGAAACTTCAATATATCTTTAAAAAACCATTATAAAAGAAAATTATGTTGATGAAATTACGTTTGGTGACAATGCAATTTACAGAGTGGTACAGATACTGCACATACCAAACTGTGTATCGAGGAAACCCACTGACAGGCGTCGTGTTCGGATGCTGGAATTACGGATTATTTCTGTCCCACTTCTACAATAATCAGGAACGGTAAAACCGCTATGCTATTCTGTATTCTGTACGTTAAGAGAAGATGACCCTGAGGGAGTCGCAGGTGTCCCATCTGTAGGCAGACCGTCAGCCCGCCTCCCCCAGCTCGCCCGCGCACGCTAGAGCAGCGCACCTAGTTGATGACCCCAGGAGCACCGTCACGGTTTCCTGTCTCAGATTTGCTTTGAAGAGAAAATGGAAACCGAAACGAACGCGAGGCGCGGGGAGGAAACGAAACCTAAGCAACTACACCCGCAGCTTGCTCCGGGGATCCTTTCCGCCACCTCCACCCCGCGCTGTGGCCCAGCACGCCAGCCGTCCCCGCACCCCATCCGCTCGGCTCGCAGCGCCCGTGCCCAGCATCCGAAGCCCATCCTCACCTGGCCGCTCCGCAGGACACCTGCTTTTCCGGCCCAGCTGGCCCCGGCCGTTGTCCCCGCACGACTGGATGGTGCCATCAGTCAGCAGCAGCAGCGAGTGGCGTTCCCCGCTGGCCGCCTGCCGCAGCTCCGCGCCGCCCGCCACGCGCTGGTGCCGCGGCTTCCCCGCGTCGGCGCCCCAGCACCAGTACATCCCGTGCGCCCTGCCGCCCGCGCTCGCGCCCAGATGCTAGAGTTCGTGGTGCGAAGTTTTCCTGGAAGTCAGGAGGCTGGGTGGCTGGGTTCCTCTCTGAGCTCCACCTGCCTGCCAACCCGCCCCAGTAGCGTAGCCCCTCCTCGAGTTCACTTAGATTACTCGCTGCCCTGCCCAGCTCCCGGGGCTCCAGAGCAGAGCGGACTGGAGAGGAAGAGCGCCGGCACGCCCATCCTAAGTCGTGATCCTCAGCGGTGCCGCTTTGGGAAAGGTTGCCTCATCTAGGAAAAGTGGACAGTTGGGGCTGGCGTTGGGTTAACCCCTGCTGGCGGTGGCATCCTATAAACTAGAGCTGGCTGGCGTCCAGGCAGCTCCAATCCAGCTCCCTTGCTAATGGCCTGGGAAAGCAGCAGGAGATGGCCCAAGTGTTTGGACCCCTATCCCCAACGTGGGAGTTCTTGGACCTTCGTCCAATCCTGTCCTTCAGGCATTTGAGGAGTGGATCCGCATATGGGGGAGGTCTCCCTCTCCCCCTCCCCATTCAAAAAAAAAAACTTATTAAAAGGGGGGGGGCAGAGGGAACAAGGACTCGAACGGGCACTCTGATTAGGAAGAAAGGAATAAAAATGGACAGTAAGATAACAAATATGTTAGAATGATTCAAGCAGTAACATTTAAAGAGTTGGAATAACGCCTAGTGAGCTTAGTAAAAGCATCTGAGCGACTACCCACCCCCAGACACTGTTTCTGGCACTGGAAACACAGCGTGTAAAGAAAAACATCTTCACGGTGTATTTAAGAGAACACAAGCAGATTAATAAATATACAGTGTAACATCAGGTGGCATCAAGAAGAATGAAACAGGCAGTAGAGGGCAGAGGCTGAAGGAACTAACATCTCTGAGAAACTATCAGGGAAGATTTCCCTGATGAAGCAGCATTTGAGAAATGGGGGAGGGGCATGGGAATCTCCAAATTAAGAGCAATTCCACTTTGTATTGCCAGAATATTCTATCTTTGGTTAATACTATTTATTAATTATTGATTGGTTAGGCAGAGAGGCATAGAAAGAGCTCTCATTCCACAAATGCCTGCAATGGCTGGGCTGGGTTAGGATGAAGCCGGGAGCTGAGATTTCAGTCTAGGTCTCCCATCTGAGTGACCTAGTGCTTGAGCCATCATTGCTGCCTTCTGGGGTTTGCATTAGCAAGAATGCTGGAATCAGGAACTGGAGACAGGGATCACACCCAGGTACCCTGATGTGGCACGCAGATGTCATAAACACTACACCAACCGCCTGCCCCGGGCTGATTATTTCAATCAAGGGAACCTAGAAAGCAGATGCCAGAAGAGGCTTTCCTCTGATATCCTCCTGTCTGGAGCAATTTTTGTTGCACACCAGTTCCATGGAGCATCACTTACAAACCACTGTGCATTCTGCAGGCCACCAGAGCTCCCCCAAAAGTCACTTGCTCTCAGAATTGTCTACATTGTGCATTCCCTTTTTGCACCTCAGTAAATTTGTGTGGCTTTTCTCCAATTTCATCTCCATCAGTTTATTCCAGAGAACCTTAGAAGTTGTGGGGAAGTT